TTAACCTTACATTGTTTATTTATTTATGTTAACAGTGGATTTACCCCTGTGCAAACAGGACCTCTGTGTTTTCAGTTTTCAGTGGCTAGACTGTTCTTAATCTGACCCAATACTGATGTCATGATTACGCTACTTAAGTCTTTGTTTGGAAAGGGACATTTCATTGTATCTTGATAATCAGAACGTATTCCAGCATGCATGGGCTGTGCTTTAGAATTGCTATTTTGGAGCACTTTTTTTCTAGTTTTCAAAATCTACGCAAGCTCTCCTCTCCTCTCCTCTCCTCTCCTCTCCTCTCCTCTCCTCTCCTCTCCTCTCCTCTCCTCTCCTCTCCTCTCCTCTCCTCTCCTCTCCTCTCTTGTAGTGTAACAAGAGATACAGGTGCTTGCTCACTGGGGCTTGTTTGGACAAAATGTATTTGAATATGAAGTCAAATAGGAACATTTTTTTGAGTGTGAGCAATAAAGAGCAGGTATAGTGTGGAACAGAAAGGAAATAATGAATCTGGAAAGGATTTAGGGATCAGGCTGGAATAGAATAGCATGAGCTTGGTTTAATGCTGTGTTAAAGAGGGCTGGCATGATCCTTGGAGTAGAAAGGTGATTATTATGCTTCTTTAAATAGCACAATTGAGCCTAATATTAGAAGGCTGTACTTGGTTTTTAGAGCTTGAATTTTTCTTGCATGTCTTCCCTTGCGTGTTGTGTTTGGAAGGTGTATTAAGAAATTACAGCAAAAATTTTGAAAAAAGCCAGGTTAAATTAGAAATAAGGAAAACTGCTTTGAGATTTTTCTGCTGATTGAAAATCCTTAATCATCATCACCATCATAAAACTCTACAATTTTTATTTCAAGTCTGAAAACACTAGGGTCAGATCTTAGCATGCTTTCTCAAAGTTGTTCTGCCTAATGCAGAAATTCTGCAATCTCTGGAAACACGGGAAAAAAAGATTAGATGGTCGAATATTTTTTTTTTGTCCTTAATCTCTTGAACAAGCATCCAAGTGCAGATTCAGGACAGTCCAGCCAAGATTGATAGTGTGCTTCACAGTCTTCAAACTAGTATGAGGCTAGTCTGTTCCTGTGTGAGTATTCATGGGAAACACCTGGTGAAAAATTTGCAATATTTCAATGTTGCAAATGAATTTCCAAATTGTTTCCACAGCATTGAAGACATTATTCAGCTCTGTACACAGTTCCCTGCCCATAGTCAACCAATTTGAGTAGATGAGTCATTGAACCACTTTCATGACCTGACTGCTGTGCATGGCTGTCCACAACGTGGCTTGTGGCTTCACATCACTGTCATCACTGCTGAAACGCACGACCTGTGGCCTCAGTATGCGAACATAAATAGGCTGGTTTGGGTTGGAAGGGACTTTTAGGATCATCTATGTCCAATTGCCCTGCTATAGGCAGGAAGGGGAATATGCCCACAAAGGTAGGAAAAGCCTGAGCTTATTTTGTCCCTCACAGTGGTGGACACAAGTCTAACTAAGCTGCTTACTTCAGCTCTGAGAGTGGCACAGAGAAACCAAAGTAGGCACAGTATCTCTGAACATCAAGACTAACAGTTTTGTAAGAAAGTATTTTGATTGTAAGAAGGTATTCTGATTGTCCTATGGGCAAAATAAAGAATCATTGTGCTTTAATGTTGTCAAGACCCTTTGACCTGGGCCTTATCTTCATTCTGCCTCTGGAGAAATGGAGTGGAGGAATGCAGACACGAGCAGAACCAACATCCATCTCTGCCTGCCATCCCTGAGAACCTCCTGCTTTGTTCCTACTTATCTTTCTCTCTATCCACCTCCCTCCCACCTGCCTTTGCACAGCTCTACCTGGCTCCTCCTGCCAGCAGAGCTCGGCACGCCATTGGCAGCAATGCCGCTTCTGCTCTTCAAAGCAACAGGAAGAGGAAGGCAGAGAAGAGGATCCTTTGGTTCTCTGCTCTGACAAATTTAAACTAAAAGACCCCAGCAGCGATCTGTTGCTTTGCACAGACATTACAGCTGCAGTCACCTGGCCTCCTGTTTTGCTGGCTGTTGTGCTGGGAGAGTCTTCACAATTTCGTTTAGAAGCCAAGGGTACAACTGCAGGTCTCAAGTAGTGGCTGCAGCGTTGATCTGATGGAGGGGCTACACAAGGGCCCCTCTGTGTTCCTGGGGGATTTCATATGCCTCCGGGCCCTGTGCAAGCAGGGGGCCCACTGCCTTCTCTCAGGAGAGAGTGGGTAGCCCATGGCTTCTTTGCTTTCCATAAGCATTCAGCTAGTGTCAGTGAATTCAATGGGCACAATTTTTTCCATACAATGGAATCAAATTATGCACCTTTGCTTCACACGCACTTCCAGGTCAGATGCCATTTTCTCAGACTGCCTCTCTGCTGTCAGATACTGCAGGGCAACAAAATGTAATGGGATATGGAAGGGAATACGAATTTGATCCAAGTGCATTTTGCCCTTCAAGACAAATACTTTGAATACAGGCCTAATTCCAGCGTATGTTTTATTCGTTGTATGGAAGCGTTAATGAGAAAAGGTTTAATGGCATTCACAGTTATAACGTTAGGGCTAGAACTTCAGCACACAGCCCTGGGTCATTTTGTAATTTGTGTGTTATGATGTATCTGCTGTTGGAAAAGAGCTTAGTATGTTAGGGGGTAGAGTGATACAGTAGGTGTAATTACTTTTCTCATCACTTTATTAGAGAGGCATGGACAGGTGCGATGTTGGCTGGAAATGTTGAGGAAAAAAAAAAAAGAATTTGAGGAATTGAAACCCTGTTTTATGTTTTTCCATTTGAAGTTTGAAGGTGTTTTTGACAAGACTTGTTTGTTAGAGATGATATTCTGAGTTTTTTCTTACTGGAACAGAACCAAGAAACAGAATCATAGAATCACTCAGGTTGGAAAAGACCTTCAAGATCATCAAGTCCAACCACAACCTAAGCATACTACCCTCACTCTAACAACCCTCTGCTAAATCGTGTCCCTGAGCACCACATGGTTTTTAAACACATCCAGGGATGGTGACTCAACCACCTCCCTGGGGAGCCCATTCCAGTGCTTAACAACCTTTTGTGTAAAGAGGTTTGTCCTGATATCCAACCTAAACCTCCCTGGTGAAACCTGAGCTTATAAAGGAGGACTTCAGTATTCAGCTATCTATAACCTAAATTATCAGTGTACAGTGCTGAGTTCATTTTACTTCTGAAAGTGTTAAGACTAATAAAGTGAATAAATATTCACAATAAATAGTTTAGTATATCTTTTTGATAATTTGTGTGGTCTAATATTTGCTGCTGAGTCATAGCTCCAGTTACATTACGCCCTGTACGAATGCAAACCAACACTTGAAATGGACCAACTCATTTTTTGGAGACTAATCCTTTGTACCCCAAAGGGAGTGTTAGTATTTAGCTAGTAAGTACCACTACTAGCTGTCAGTGGACAAGAAAAGTCAACAGAACTGTGGTCTTAGTAAGACAAATATTAAGAAACCTTATCCAATGTAAGAGTTTTAGCTGTTGAATTGGTCTTGTAAGGAATGCTTTTTAAAAACTTTAACAGAAATAGCATAGTCATTTCAAGGAACACAGCTAAAGAAAACAATGTTCTGGTGATTTTGGTGAGAAACTACAAAGTTCTAGTACTGGTATGTATGCTTTAGTGTGATGATGTGAGAAGTCAGCAAGTATTTGAGGACACAGTTGTGTTTTGTTTTATGCAGAAAAGTTAACTGGACTATTTTCTCTAAGTACAGTGGGGCTAATTGAAGGATAAAAGCCAGTTTCCCTGACAATCTTGTGCTAAACTGATACATTTCATGCCTTGTGAAAACATACAGCAAAACCAACCAAACGCTGGTGCGTGAGAAAGTGTGGAAAACTAGCCAGGCTGTAGGACTTGAAGCAACGTGGCTTTAATTATAATCTATAGAGAAACAAAAATGGAAGCTGGTGGGTAAGATAAAATGTTAGGTAAGAACAGTAGTTGTGAGTGAATTAATAGTTGTTTTGGACCATGGAAGTAATTCTGGAGGACTGATGGACAATAGCTGTGTTTTGAATCTCTTATGATACCATTGCAGCTTCTGTCATAGTGTTGTGATAGTGTGGAGCCTATTGTATGAGGGAGTGATGAACATTGCAAGGATCTTTTTCAGGAATATTTTTAGTCTTATCTTCTTGAGGTAATTGGATGTACTTCTCTCCTGTTAGAACCAGGATAGTACTGCTGTCAGGAGTCCTGTGTTTACAATAGGTTTGTTCTGGGACTTCAGGTTGGGAGAAGTGCCCTGGGAAGGATATAGTGAAGGACACAGGGAAGAGAGGACAGTTTTTTTTTTTTTTTTTCTCCAGCTCTTTTTCAATTGTGTAGCAAAGAGGCTACATATATTTATTGTTACTGCAACTTGTAAGGCCAAATGAGCAATTTGGAGTTTCCAGTGTTGTGACAGTATGAGCACATTCTTGCACTGTATGGCTAGACACTAGTGAAAGTGATGATGCATTTGAAAAGGTGCTCCGGAGCTGGTCAGAGAATCTACAGCTGCGTGTGATTGGTACCTCAACAAGAAATAGAATAAACATGGCATATCATAGAGTCTCTGCAAATTTTACAAAATAATTCTTACAACTTTTTTTTCTTCTCATAAATTCCTGTCTCAGTACTACTGAAGTATTTCCTTAGGTGTGGTCATAGAGTCCCTGTGCAACTGACTCATACCTTCTTGAACACTGAAAGCCTAAGGCATCAAAAAACAACAATAAAAAAACCCAAGTTATTTCTTTTTAAAATCGTAGAGCTACCTTAAGTGACCTGTGGCTTTTTCAGTGTGGTTGCTCCTTATCAGGTTAGGTATTTCATAGTTGTCCTGTTTTTGAAGTAGGAATTCGACTGCAGTTCCATTTGCTTCCTGGAATATTTTTAAAACAACATCCTGAGAATATCCCTTGTATGATGAACCTTGCTGATTTTTGTTTTGTTTTGTTTTCTGCTAGGAGATGGTGTTTCCAGGGAAAGTAGTCCATTTATTAACAGTGCAGAGATGGACAGAGGAAACATGTACGAAGGTAAAAATATGGCTCTCTTTGAGGTAAGTTCTCATTTCGTTGTGTATGTGTCTGGATGCATGTTTTGTTTGGTAATTTATATATTATTATACATATATATAGTATATATATATGCATTACATATATGCATTGCATTCAACCTCCCATTCTCTTGTTGTCCTTCTGTGCTCCTACCTTCTTTCTTCCAAAAATGTTAGCACAGAAAACATAATCTTTCAGTTCTCCTGTCGGACAAAAATTTGTGCACTGCTTTTCACTGAACTTTAGAGAAGATTGTACGAGGAGTCACTGATGTTTGTCATTAAATCTCTTTACCACTTATGACATTTCTTACTATTTTTTTTTGATGGAAATCATGATACCAGAGTTTTGTCTCTGGATTTATCTCCTTCAAATTCGAATTCATAGATCAATATGCAAAACTACTTCTTGTTCAAATAAGATATTGTATTACTCACTGTTGACAAATTGTTGCTGCTGTTTTTTTTTTTTTTCCTTTTTTTTTCCCCCTCATTGTCCCTAATCATCTTTGAAATATATGCTTGCATTAGTTGTTTTCAACACACTGCTGATGTAGCGTTGGATTTTTTTGGTATCCTGTGTTCTGTAGTATGTGTTTCCTAGGTCTTAACATTTTCAGCTGACTTGTATTTGTAAAAGATCTTTAATAACTTCAAAGAAGTTAGTTCAAAGAACTGTGTTGTCATGACCTAATACCTTCAGGCAAAGATTAGTTTTTGTATATTACTGTTTTCAGTTCCAATCTGTTGTCTTCCTCCCAGTATTTGATCCTGAATGCTTGACTCAATCTTCTAGTTCTGCTTCTCTTGGTATCCTTTTATTGCGTGTGTTTCTTTAGGATTTTATTATTGTTTTCACCATGCTTTGGTTTTGTAGCAGATATTTGGCTGAAGAAAGATCAGCTTGCTTCTGTGTCAAGTAATATTACATATATTTAATTACATCTTATGTGAATATGTTCCAAAGCATACATTTGTTCAAAATATGTACATTGTTTTAAGAGTAGTCCATATGGATCATGGTTCTTGAGAAGGTGCTTGAGAAAATTACCTAAGGCTACTTTTAGGGTTTTTTTTTCCAGCATTCAGCTTGTGTCTAAATGTCATGACCCTGCCACTGCAGTATAGGGAGGGACAGCAATATAATCATATAGAGTTCAACTATAAAGATTTACTTTTGTTCTTTGACATGACTGGTATTTGGTCATGCTAGTTTTCAGATTAGAATGATTCAGGAATAACCTGTTGAGTGTATGTTTGAAGTACTATCATAGAATCATAATTTAAGTTTTTATTATATGCAGTTTTCTTAAAATCCTGACAGGAGGAAATGGATAGCAATCCAATGGTGTCATCTCTTCTTAACAAACTAGCAAACTACACAAATGTGACTCAAGGTGTGGTGGAACATGAAGCAGATGAAGATAGCAAGCGAAAGGAAGTCAAGGTATCTGAACTTCTGATAAGTTACGACAGAGCTAGCCACATAAAGAGAAATATTTTTTAGCCTAGAAAGAAATCACACAATTCTCTAAAAACAGGAGAGAGAAAAGCAGAAGTGTTCATTGATCTTGCTAGTGTGTTTTAGCAACACATTGTTGTAGAAGTTCCATATGAAATGTATGTCAAACTCAGAACCAAAACAAGCATTACATGCATCTCAGTTCCCTCTTAATTTTGTTCCCTTCTGTCCTTGTATTAGCAACAGTAACTTTGTTTTACCTTTGGTGAGGATGCAGTTTGACATTCTTCTCATTTGATCGTTTATTGATACATTTCAGTTGGCTGGATTGTTATCTGAGGTTGAAATTAGAAAAAACTTGAAATGGAGCAAGCCACTTTTTATGATCAGAAGTGTATTTGCTTCTTAATATGGCAGCGGGTTTTTTGTTTGTTTTGTTTTTTGTATTAGGTCTATTGTTCCTGTGTTTGGAGGAGGCTCTCTAGCATATTTGCTTGAAGAGAGCAGCTAAGATCTCCAACGGTTGTCTGCTGGGTGCCCCAACTGCCTATCTATGCCTTTGTATGAGAGGAACATAAGCAACCTTGTCAGGCTATAATAAGATACTATGTTGAATCTTCTATGAGCAGGAAGCTGTCTTAGAAGGAGAAAGCCAAGATCAAAACCATGTATAACACAAAACTGCAGTCAAGAAGGGATGATGAGCTGTGACTGGTAGGGCATGAAAGCTGAATCAGGGAAACTTAGGGTAGGTACTGGCAGAATGAGAGTACTGGCAGTTATTCGTCTTTGAGTTTCTACTGATCTTATATTCTGGGCTATGAAGGAAGAAGGAAAAGCAGATGAGAAAGAATAGAAGGAAAGAAGCACCTGGGAAGACGGATACAAAAAGGTGCTTGGAATTAAGGTTATAACTGGAATTTATTTATAGGAGGGATTTATAGTATTGTACCTGAATACTTGCTCTAGAACTGTTTTTGTTAAGACTTGACTGCTACTGGGAGTTGTTGGGACAGTGTTGTGGCTTAACCTGACATGTAGCAAAGCAGCATGCAGTCATTTGCTTATTACCCCTGCCCCCTCCAACCCCACATCCCCTCAACTGCTCCCAGTGGCATGAGGGAAAGAACTGGGGGGGGGAATAAGGGGGTCTGGAGTAGAACTCATGAGTTGAGATAAATATTCTTTTACCAAGACAGAAAAGGAAGAGGAAAGGAAGTGGTAGTATTAATAATCATATATGCACAAAACAAGTGGTGTACCAGCCACCCACTGATGTCCAGCTAGTTCCCAAGTAGCAGCTGCTCCCCTAGACATCTTCTCACTAATTTTCAAGAGTTTTTTTTTGTGTGTGTGTGTGTGATGTCATATGGTATGGAAAATCCCTTTGGTTAGTATAGGTCATCTGTCCTGATTCTGTCTCCTGCCAAATCCTTGTGTCCTCTCAGCCACCCTCACCGGCAAGGCAGTACAATAAGCTGAGAAACTGAAATGTTCTTGGCTCCATGCGTATGCTGCATACAGCACTGCTCTGCAACAAATAAAATAGTGCTCTGTTATCAACATTGTTTGTCTCTTAAAGCCAAAACGTAGTATCATACCAGACACTACAAAGAAAAAAATCAGCTCTTTTCCAGCTGAAACCAGGACAGACAATGATCAAGGCTGTGGAATAAAGTCCGTAGCCTTTTGCTGTTCTTCACTTGTTTATCAGTTGTAGTTTCTTGTTCAGTTTTGGCTTTTGTTAATGCAGCCCAGTGTTAGCCCGTCTAGAACTAACTGGCCAAATGAACACTGTATTTACTTGCACTATATCAGCTTGTGTCCTGAAAGCATGATTTGTGTATGTTTTCTTTTTACCCTTTGGTGTCTGAAATTAATTGAGATTAAGCAATTGTCTGGTAGAGTAGAATTTTAATGGCATAATATAGTACTGGAATACTTCTACTATATAAAGAGACTGAGAGAGGCAACTATTCAAACTGGAGAAGAGGAAACTTGTGGGGATCTAATTTATACACAGTGATATCTGAAGGGAAGTTGCAAAGAGGGTGGAGCCCTGTTCTCTTCAGTGATGCCCAGTGCCAGGACAAGAGGCAGTAGACACAAATTGGAAGGCAAGAGTTTCTGTCTAAAAGTCAAGAAACACTTTGCTGTACAGGTGAGAAAGAACTGACACAGAGCAGTAGTTGTGGAATCTCCTTGGAGACCTTAGAAGCTGTATGGACATGGTCCTGGGCAATTTGCTCTGGGTGTCCCAGCTTGAGCAGAGGGTTTGGACCAGGTCACCAGCAGAGGTCCTTTTGAACTTAACTGTTCAGTATTCTGTAGTAACTGAGCTTATATACAACATCAGTGTTACCAACATTATCCAGTGTGCTAAAAAATAAAGATAGAAGTCTGTATGGCATTGTGTCCTTTTATGTACTTGGAAATCTAGTGCAACCCTTGCTTGCTGTTTTAAATTGGCTGCATTTTTTACAGCCTGAGTTGTGATTTGAGATGAACTTCTGTACCTGGAGACCTAGTATGCATATTTATTGCTTCTAAGTTGAGTATTTCAACAGAAAAGGCTGACGTTCATGAAGTGCAGAAGGTTAATGGTGAGGCCTGAATGGTTCTGTTGTCTTTGCTTCCAGGTTCCACGAATGGGCACATTTATTGGTGTGTATCTCCCTTGCTTGCAAAACATCTTGGGAGTTATTCTTTTCCTGCGTTTGACATGGATTGTAGGAACAGCTGGAGTTCTTGAATCTTTCATCATTGTTTTCATGTGCTGTGCTTGTGTAAGATAATCTTTTTCTTTATTATTGATCGGTTTACTATTCTGTTACCAGAATACAGCTGCTTTCTCTTGTATAAACAAACATTACAAGATTTTTCCTTAAGATAAATTTCTCTATAAAGTAATAATAATTTTTCTATAAAATTTCAGAACAATTGGGAGATACAGGATGGGTCTTCTATAACAATTAAATGTATGCACTGAATGTCATGTGTCCTTTCAGCATATATTGGGTTTTCTGTGATCCAGTGATAGTAGGTTTTAGCTTGAAGTATTTAATGGATTCTATTCAACGAGCAAATATTTCATGATACACATTGTATCACATTGAGACCTGAAGTCTTCCATTATTATTTTTTTTTTTTTACAACTTTTGAACAAACCAAAACATAAACTACTGGCATTGTGTCTGTAAATTCATTTTGGGAAACCAACAGTAGATGAATTCATCATAGCTGTGATAAATTGGAATAAAGAATATTTTAAGTACATTCTCAGTGGTCTGTACTCATCTATTTGAAGGCTGTTCGAAGCATCTAAACTTAATCATCATGTAGAAGGCTCTGTACTCCATTTACATGGAAATATCTAACCAAAGATGATCAGTTTTAGTTGCTACGAAGTTTTATTAGTAAATTCTTAAGTGCTTTGATCACTGTCTTGTCCCATTTTCAAAATACTTTAAATGTGTTTTGTTTCATCTTTCTGCAGACTATGCTAACTGCAATTTCAATGAGTGCAATAGCAACAAATGGTGTGGTTCCAGGTAATCAATATTTTTTTTTAATCTTAGACGAAAAATGGTAAAATGATAAATAATCAAATCTGAGATAATTTGCTGTGGTATTGAAATCATAGAATCATAGAATCACCAAGGTTGGAAAAGACCTTCAAGATCACCCAGTCCAACCGTTCACCTATTACCAATAGCTGCCACTGAACCACGTCCCTCAACACAACATCCAGCCTTTCCTTGAACCCCCCCAGGGTCGGTGACTCCACCACCTGCCTTGGCAGTCCATTCCATATATCATATGAACTGTTAGAAGTAGTACTTGGAGTATTGTTTCAGGTATCTTGTAATTGACTTTTTAAGGTGAGATGCTGTTCTCTACCTAGACCTTCCAGGAGCTGTAGCACATTTTTGTTATCATCAAGTATTTGATTCTGTTGAATGAAAGATATCATAATTTGAGCTAATAAAGATTGATTTTCTAAAGAAATTTGCTCTACCTTAAATTTACAAATAAAGTGCTTTTTTTCCCCCTGGAATTGCCCCTAGATTACTTTTTATTTATTTACTAACATCTGAAACAGTTTGGTTTTCTGCAAGAATAATAGCCAGCATACTGGTAATAATCTCCTCCTATATAAGCATTTTAGGTTATGCTCGTCTCATTTACCTTTTTCAGGACAAGTTTGCCTGTTAAATTGTTCCTCTTCAATTATGAAACAGATGTTTTCAACACAAAATCAGTTTGCTTTTGAAGCTCTTCTAATCTTTGGTTTTCAACAAGTTAATTGAAAATACCAGTATTCTGATGTTATGGACCCTGTACAGATGCTTACATTAAATTTAAAAAATTGTATATATATATATAAAAATAAATTTTAAATTAATTAATGAATTAATACTCAGTTTTAGAGCTTTTCTAGCTTAGTAAGGTTCCAGAATGGATGCATAAGTTGTTGGGCAAAATTAAACACTACAATTTGTGCAGAATCTTGAATTCCAGTACTTGAAGGAGGCCTCCAGGAAAGCTGGGGAGGCATTTTTTATAAGAACACGTAGTGACAGGACAAGGGGTTTTGAACTGGAAGAGGGTAGATTTAGACTGATATAAGGAAGAAATTCTTTACTGTGAGAGTGGTGAGATGCTGGAACAGGCTGCCCAGCGAGGTTGTGAATACCATCTCCTTGGAAGCATTCAAGACCAGGCTGAATGGGGCTTTGTGCAGCCTGGTTTAGAGGGAGGTGTTCCTGCCTGTAGCAGGGGGCTGGAGCTAGATGATCTTAAAGGTCCCTTCCAACCCAAACCATTCTATGATTCTGTTTCACAGATGTAGTACAGTACGTGAAATATAAATGCAGTAAGAATTTTTTTCAATTGTTTTTGTTTTATAATTAAGTATAGTTATCCTAGTCACTGTTCATCTCTTTTTCCCTCTTATTTTTCAAGTTTATTGTACTAGTATGCCTGGAACATGTGGAAAGGGCAAAGTACCTACGATTGAAAGGAATAATAATAAATAAACTTTTTATTCATTACTTTGGCATTATGAGTATCGAACTTACTGCTTTTCTTCATCACTTTCAGTGATTTTGTTGCTTTTTAAGTTAAAAAGCAAGTGTTAGTAGCAGTGAATCTGTTTAAGCTGTTCACTGCATCTGTAAACTGGAAACTAATATTTGTTATTCACTTTTCAAAGGAGAGCAGAGAAAGGTTTTTGGTAAACTTCATCGGTATTCATCCTCCTTTTTATTTCCTTCCCTTTGTAAAATCTCTAGCTCTGAAAAAAACACCCAGCTTTGTTTAAGGAAAGCCTGAAGGTTTTCGGTATGTCTGATTAGACAGTTGTCATGCTGTCCTTTCTGGTTTTATTAAGTACTAATCAGTAAACTAAATCAATTTACAGTCTTCCAATAGTATTTCCTGTGGTTCTACAGAGTTCCAGTAATCTTGCTTCACTGTAAATGTTTTAGAATAAAAAATATTGGATCTTATGACATAAGGAACTCTTTAATTCATAATATTTTTAAGGCAATGTTTAAAAACTGTAAATGAAGAATCTGCTTTTTTAATTAATAAATTTCCTATCCTAAAATTCTATCTGCCATGAAGAACTATTGATATTCCCATTGTGCTTTTTTGTTTTTGTTTGGCATAATGATCTTGCATGTCAAAATATATATGTATTTTTAGCTGCTAGAACATCTTCCTGGAGCCTTATGTTTTCCAGGTTCTGAAAACACAACTTACTCAGCCTTTCTTCGTAGAGTAGGTGCTCCAGCCCTCTGGTCATCTTCATTGCCATCCTCTGGACCCTCTCCAACAGGTTCATCTTTCTCTTGCTGGGGATCCCAGAGCTGAAGGCAGCATTGTGGGGTTCTCATAGGGATGGAGTGTAAGGGGCAGAATTTCCTACCTCAGCATGCAGATCATGCTTCTTGGTCGCAGCTCAAGATATGGTTTCTAAGCTGGAAGCACACATTGCCAGCTCATGTTTGGCTCTTTATCTATCATTACCCCCAAGTCCTCTGCAGGGCTGCTTTCAATATTTGGCCTTGTTGAACTTCATGAGATTCACAAGGCCTCACTTCTAAGCCTGTTCAGATCCCTCTGGATGACATCCCTTCCCTTCAACGTGTTGACTGCAACACTGTTTTGAGTTTGGCAAACTTGCTGAAAGTGTATTCAATCCCACTATGTCACCAACAAAGATATTAAATAGTAACAGTCCTATACTGACCCCTGAGGAACACCAGGCATCACTGATCTCCACCAAGACACTGAGCTATTCACTGCAACTCTGAGTTTGGCCATTTGAGTGTGGCCTTCAGCCAGTTCTTTATTCACTGAGTGGTCAATCGATCAAATCCATGTGCTTCCATTTTCAAAACATGGATGTTATGTGAGACAGTGTCAAATGTTTTGCACAAGTCCAGATAGATGATGTCAGTAGCTCTTCCCTTATCCACCAGTGCTGTCACCTCATTGTGGAAAGCAATCAAATTTGCCAGGTATTATTTTCTCTTAATGAAGTCATGTGTGCTGTCGCCAGTCACCTTTGTGTATTCCACGTGCCTTACCATAGGATTTGCTTCATGATCTTGCCAGGCACAGAGGTGAAAATGATTGGCTTGTAGTTCTCCAGATCTTTTTTTTTCTCTTTTTTAAAATGGGGGTTATGTTTTACCTTTTCAAGTCCCTGAGACCCCTATAAAGACCCCTTTAACAGACTGCCATGAATTTTCAAATGTAATGAATAGATGCACAGGAAATTTATCTGCCGTTCCATGAGGACCTTCATGTCCATCTCATCAGGTCCCTCAGACTTGTGCATGTTAAGGTTCCTTAAGTGGTCTTGTGCCTGATCTCCTACAGCGGGCAGTTCTTTATTCTCTCAGTGTCTGCCTTTGCCTTCTGTGAAGACTGAGTCAAAAAAGACATTGAGTACTACCTTCTCTATGTCCGGGTAACCACGTCTCTCAGTTTCTTCAGGAGAGAGCTCACATTTCCCCTAGTCTTTCTTTTTATCACTTATGTACTAGCTCTCCAACAGATTGACACCGTTGGTCCCTACTAGACCAGGTTTCCCAAAGAGTAACACGGTCTAACAAGCCATATCCTTGGCCAAATCACTTGTCTGGCAACTATGAATTGATCTGCCAGATTGTACTGGTCTTCTTAAAGCCTTTTCTTTTGATTGGTAGGATTGAAAAGATCATTTATACTCCAGGGCCTCTTGACACTGTTCCAAGGGTTCTATAGTCCTTCATGATACACTTTGGATGTTCTTGACAGTGTTGTTGGTGCTGCATAAAATAACAGCCATGGATAGTGGTTCTGCAAGCTGTACAAGGCTTGGTAATTTCTTGGTAACATCTGTAGTACTTACATAGGCTCATGGTAAGAGACATACCTCTCATGTGAGTGGGTCAGGGTAGCAAATTGATGCCTTTGTACCTCTCAGAAAAGAGTCATCTACAGCTATCACCTGTCATATTTTCTTCTTTGCACTGGTTGTTTAGCAGTCTGTAGTGCCACAATCAACCACTTTGCTGAGGACCAAGCCGGCACCAGAACTGACTGAGTATTGGCAGGGATTAATGAGAACAGAAAAACATTGCAGGACTTCTGTACAACTGTTTGATATGTGATGAATTATTTGTGTAGTATAACACAAAAACTACGAACATCTTCATTTGCCAGTTCTAGCTGTCTAAAAAAGAAAAAGCTTACTGATTTTAAGTGATTAGAGTGTTTTGATTTTATTTTCATTTCTTTAGCAAGAAATGGTCTTAGGCAAATAACAAACAAAACTGGCTAGTATCTCTTTTCATTTTTTAATTTTTTTTTTTTTTTTTTTTTTTTTGCTTTAATTCTGATGAGCGAACCTAATGCTTAAAATGTTTGGGTAGCTGATGTTTTGAAAACACTGCTTTTGTGAAAATGCATGTGATGATGTGCACCTCAAAGTGTACATTCTAACAGCACATTTGGTGTAAACATCAAATACAGGTTTGGTAAGAACATTTTAATGGAGATGCATGCAGAGATTTTCTCAAGTACCTGGGCTGATTGAATGACAGAATGTTGTGATCTCTACTGCTTTTATTAATCTGAAAAGTTGGAATCTTCTTGGTTAAATTCACAGCTGGAGGCTCCTATTACATGATTTCAAGATCTTTAGGACCAGAGTTTGGTGGAGCAGTGGGACTTTGTTTTTACCTGGGTACAACCTTTGCAGGAGCAATGTACATTCTTGGTACCATTGAAATCCTATTGGTAAGTACTGGTTTCTCATAAGTCTATTTTCAGTCTATTTTGAGAGATCACTGAGCATTGTCTAAATATAATAATTATAGATAAGTTATAATGACACCTAAAATGTATTCTAGTCCAATTTTTGAATGCTTTGGTACCACATTTGTAATATGTCAATATTCCAGTTCTTCTTATGAATATTTGAAGAAGTTCAACAAACTTTGATTTGTGGAGCTGTCTCTAGCCCAGCGATAATAATAAATGATGATAATAAATTTATGATCATGAAATTATGATCAGTATTTAAACAGTTTAACGTTTTTTCCCCACTTAAATTAGGAACAAAACAATTCAGTAAGTGATGTTTAGTAAGTTTACCAAATGGGATGTATCTCTTCGCCACCTCTTCATAATATGCTCTGGATAAAAAAAGAATCCTTCAGATTATGTTTATGCTACTGTAGTCTTATATAGTTCAAGGAAAACTACTCATAATAGTAAGATTTAGTTTTGGAATTTCTGGTGTAGGAAGAGAAGAATGAGCAATGGCTTGTTCTTTGTGTGGGTATCAGACACTACAGTGTGGCATCCTCTTTGCAATCTGTACCTGTCACATGGAAACATACTTGTTGTGTTCCTTGTCTTCCTCTGTTTCTTATTGTTTTCTCTTGTCTGGCAAAGACAAATTTATGAGAGGCAGAAACTGTTAGAAAACAGAGAAAAAGCTGGACCAAAATCTGTGCCTCTTTCTCAGTATATCTACTCTGTTTTGTCCTCTTATTTCATCTTCACCCTTGTTCCTTTTCCACTTATATAGGATGCTCATTCAGCTTTACGATTTTCTGATAATACCACTTTCTATACATGTTGGTTTTCAAAGTAATTTATCTAAAAGATGTAGTTGAAAAATGGGAGTGGCACGTAATTAAAGCCTCATTGCACTTTAAACCTGAGTTTCTTACAATGCCTCTATACTAGGAAAAATCTTGAAAATAACTTTTTGTTGTTTCATTATGCCAGACGTATGTGAGGATATTTGTTTCTGCTCTTTCTTCACTAAATAACCATGCCATCTGGTTGAACTTCTTTGTGAAGAAAGAAAACTGCCAACTGTAGTAAACTGTAGTAGTTTAGATTTTAAAGTTCAAGTAAATTTAGTTCTTCATAAAATGATTGTTATTACATGAAAGGCAATTTCCATATCTCCTGCAGACTTACATTTCTCCAAGTGCCGCCATATTTAAAGCAGAAGAGGTTGGTGAAGAAACAGAGGCCATGCTGAACAACATGAGAGTTTATGGGACATGTATTATCATTCTGATGGCCATAGTAGTTTTTGTGGGAGTCAAGTATGTCAACAAACTTGCACTAGTCTTCCTTGCCTGTGTGATTCTATCCATCATTGCCATATATGCTGGAGTTATTAAGACTGCTATTGACCCACCCGACTTTCCGTAAGTAACATATCATTAAATAGTATAGATTATTATTAAAAAAAAAAAAAAAAAAGTAGGGGGAAAGAATAGCTACTACAACCAAGTTTTAAGCTAAACTTAAAAATATGCTCACACTGATCTCAGTGGAAGGTTTCATATCTTTATGAGGCACATATGTGATCTTCTGTTATCGTGAACTACCTATTTGAATCTTTGTAAGTCATAACTTTGGAAAATGTTCTTTCATGCTTAATGTTACTTAATGTTTTTAGCCACTGCTCTTTTCATACCGACATGCAAAAGTGGTTTTGCTGACAGTAAATACAGCTGCTTTATCTAATCAATTAAGAAATGAAGTATACAGAAGAATAAAGTAAAATCTTCAAGGAAATGTTGTAACTATTAACGGGAGGTAGCATACTTTAAAAATTTGTCATGAACTTTTTGAGACTTCTATTCACCTTATTCAAAGTAGAAGCTTTACATTATTCAATTCACTTGCTTTACACAAAAACTTTTCTACCTTTTTGTTACTAAAGTCTAGTTTTGTTGTCGCACATGGCATATTGTTTCTCAACATCTTTATCTTGTACCTTTCTTCAGCTCACTGAAAATGTGTTTGGTTGTCCAGTTACCAGTATGCTGGTTTTGTTTTTGTGCATCTCTTCCTGCTTGGAGAGCAAAGAACAGTACTGCTTAAAACAGTAGTGGAAGAGATGAGAGTTGCTGTAGTGCATTGCCACCTGTTATGTCAAACTGATCCTTTGCTATACGGTTGATGCAGAATTCCATAGTAATCTGACGTGTTAATGGTTGCTGCTTAAATTGAGCAGTTAGGCAGTATTTTTGGACTGTACTGTAAAAGATAAACAGAAACCTTTCTGTTGGCAAATAAAAATATGTTCAAATTTGACACTTCTCTGAAGAAAACTTGAATTTCTCAGAAACTCAAACTTCCACTAGGGAAATATTTAAATCTTTTATTTGTCTGTATAGGTAAAAGAGGGATTCTCTGGGTATGTAGCATTGGTAAGACTTATTACCAAATTTCTGGAAACTGCTCCTGTGATACATTACTATTTGGAAAAAATATTAAACAAAGCTTATCTTTCTATAAATAGAATTGTTCACATTTTGGTGAATCTGCTCTAAAAGAAGAAACTCAAATGTGGTTTCACATTATAATAAAGCTATGAGTAGGTCACCAAACTCACCGTCATACAGCAAGTTGGTGTAGGTTTGTAAAAATAGTTTTCTAGCTTCTAGTCTAACATTTGGACATTTTATAAAAACACCAGTTTCCCTATTCACTTAGCTATGTCTATCACCTCATTCCATCTCTGTTAGTTGTAGGCATTTTGTAGATGGTGAAATACTGTGCTTTATTAGCTCACATCATGATCTTACAGCCAAATCAAACTGGAAGAAGTTTCTAGAGGTTGAGTAGTTAACCAAATCCAATAGCAAAATAATAAACAAGGAAGATCATTCTCTTTAGCAGTGGGCTTTCTGTTAAATCTGCTTGATCTCCATGGATTTGCTGCTGTACCTGGAGATGTACTGGTGTCCTGTAAATTTCCCTTCTTGTACTTTTCACTGGTATCAGAAACAGGAAGTAAAAAACTAAGCTAAGTAAACATACTGCATGACTTAGCATACTTGGCCTGATAGCAAATGCTATGTTTATGCTGTTTGTTACCAGATTCCTGAACTCCTTCAGAAGTACCAGATGTTTACTGCTTATGTGCTATATCTTACCTGCCTAACTCTGATGCTTTATTTGATCATTCCTCGTTTCATCTTCATAGATGCAATGAGCCACTTTATTAAACAAGCCTGGGGGAGATATCTCCTGAATGTCTTTTGCATAGCTTAACAAAGGGTTAACAAAAGTAGGTAGTAAGTGTTTAATGTTCTTTTTTAATAACCATTTGCTTTTTGCAAAATATTCCTAGTTTTCTGAGAGTCATAATTGCTTCTTGCAAGAACTATACAATACTTTGAGCTATGAGTTCAGTGTTTTTAAACTTTACTCTTTTCCTGGCTTACTTCCTTAGCTTTTAATCTAAAGAACTTACTTCTTGGGAAAGTGCACGACTCTTGCTTAATTTTTCTTTTGTATTTTTTTTGGTCAAACTTATCACTGTTTTATAATGATATATCAATATCATTTTATTATTTATTATAATGATAAATCAAATGACTTCATTTCACTTTTTTTTTTTTTTTTTTTTTTTTTTTTAATAGAGGTCATGATATATTCAGTCCTATTATTTAGTGGTCAAGCTGCTTGAATTTGTTATATTTTCCAAAGAATAATCAGAAAGCATAGAAGCTGTCTTAAAGTGGAAATGTTTGACTGGTATTTTAAATGTTACTGATGATGGTTTTATATGGAGAGACTCTTCTGCTTTAGATGTTGTACAGCCCATAACATAAGTGCTATAAATACTGGATTTCTGAGGAAGTCTAATGGATTAAAAAATGCTTAAATGCACACTACTATGCTGAAGAAACACTGTTTGTTTTGCTTTGTTTGTAGCATCTGTCTTCTTGGAAACCGTACCTTGTCAAAGCGCAGCTTTGATGTCTGTGCCAAATTTACTGAAAGGAATAATGAAACAAAGACCACAAACTTGTGGCTGCTCTTCTGCAATAGTTCTTTGCCTACTGCTATGTGTGATGACTACTTCAGCCTCAATAATGTAACAGAAATTCAAGGGATTCCAGGAATACTGAGTGGAGTTCTAATTGGTAAGTCAGAAAGCACAGTGATCTGTGCTGATTCGGCCTGAAGCTGTGCAGTAATGTAGTATTTTAGCCTGACACTACTCCTTAGTAATAATCTACTTGTGTTGAAAGATTGCTTCCTGGAGTCTACTTCCTTCTTTAACATTTCCGTCTGGTTTTGGAAGCTTAATATGAATTGCTTTCATATGGGGATTGTTAAGGTTTTACGGGCACTCTTTCAAAAGCTATTTTTCTATCACATCAAATTCAGTTATTTCAAAATCCCGTGAGGGAGAACTTCTTTCCAATTTACAGATGGCATGTTGAAAAGTAAAGTCCTGTTGTTTGTCCAACAATGTACAGCATGCCAGTTCAGGAAAAAATAAAGTTTTTCTAGCTATCAGTCTAGCATTTGGACAGGAGACTTTCTACAAAGTGTGTAGAATATCTTATGTTTATGTTTTTATACAATTGTGGCTGCTTTAGGTTTAAACTAATTGCACGGGTTCATAAATTTCATTTTGAACATGTAATAGATAGTATTGTATAGGAACAAATAATGTTTATGAGGATGAGAAGGACATTCTGATTCCTGTCCTCCACGTTCCCTTAAAATAGAATTTGATTATAGAAATATGCAACTCTCTGTAAAGAGAGATAGGGGCACTAAGTAATATTATTACTGCCATAGTAACTCAATTTAAAAGATTAAACATAAAGTGTACAAATACACATTCAGTTCCAGCTGAAATGCAGGCTGCTTTGTGTCTGAATTTTTATATAAACTCACTCAGCTTCCTCAGAATCAAAGATGAAATCCTGCTTTTGACTAAAATGCTTATTGCAAGAACTGTGACTTGAGATTTTATTTACTGTATGCATTTTGTAAGTTACTACATATATCTTTTTTTCTTAAATGTTACGTATCTCTTCTCATGCTACTTTACATTCCCTCCGTATGCTCAGAAAACAGTCTTGTATTCTAAGCTTTGAACAGCTGTGGTTTTTTTTGTAATACAGTACTACTGTATAAAAGTGCATTTCATTTTCCTGATGTCACATGAAGCCAAGATCTCTAACAACCATTATGAGTCTGCTGAAAGCTCAGTGTAAGGGAAAAACTTTCCAGTGTTTGTTGTTTGACACTTACCTATGGATAAATTTCATCAGTTTCTTTACCAGGCTTGGTGACTGAGTAGAAAGTTTTTGCGTAGTTCTTTGCAGGTGGCTTTTGCATTCACCACCTTTGCATTGGAAAGCACAGGTTACATCCTGGTACCATTTCTTGGGGAAGTTTACTGGTGGGTTTCCTGAGCTTTTGGCTTTTCTAAACCTTTGACACTGTCCCCCACTACATCTTCGTGGAGAAGCTGTGTGCCCACGTTTGGCATGGTTTGGATGAGCGTACACTCCGCTGGGTGAAACACTGGCTGGATGGCCGGGTCCAAAGAGTTGTGGTCAATGGAGTTAAATCCAGTTGGCAGCCGGTATCCCCCAGGGCTTGGAACTGGGGCTGCTTCTATTTAACACCTTTATTAATGATCTTGATGAGGGGATTGAGTGCACCCTCAGTAAGTTTGCAGACGACACCAGGTTGGGAGGGAGTGTTGATCTGCCAGGGGGTAGAAAGGCATTACAGAGGGACCTGGACAGAATGGATCAAAGGGCCAAGTATGAGTTTCTGTATGAGTTCTCTGTATGAGTTTCAATAGGGCCAAGTGTCAGGTCCTGCATTTTGGTCACAACAAACCCAGGCAACCCTACAGGCCTGGGGAGGAGTGGCTGGAAAGCTGCCTGATGGAAAGGGACCTTGGTGTGCTGATGGACAGTGGGCTGAACATGAGCCAGCAGTGTGCCCAGGTGGCCAAGAAGGCCAATGGCATCCTGGCTTGGATCAGGAATGGTGTGGTGAGCAGCACCAGGGAAGTCATCCTGCCCCTGGACTCGGCACTGGTGAGGCCTCACCTCGAGTGCTGTGTTCAGTTTTGGGCACCTCAGTACAGAAAGGACACTGAGGTGCTGGAGCAGGTCCAAAGAAGGGCAATAAGGCTGGTGAAGGGCTTGGAGAATATGGCCTGTGAGGAGAGACTGAAGGAACTGGGGCTGTTCAGTCTGGGAAAGAGGAGGCTGAGAGGAGACCTTATTGCTCTCTTCCAATAACTGAAAGGTGCTTACAGCGAGAGTGGGGCTGGTCTCTTCTCACTGGTGACAGGTAACAGGACGAGGGGAAACGGCTTTAAGTTGCACCAGGATAAGTTTAGGCTGGATATTAGGAATCACTTCTTTACAGAAAGTGTTGTTAAGCACTGGAATAGGCTCCCCAGGGAGGTGGTTGAGTCACTATCTCTGGGTGTGTTTAAAACCATTTGGATGTGGTGCTCAGGGACATGATTTAGGGGAGGGTTGTCAGAGTTAGGGTAGTATGGTTAGGTTGTGGTTGGACTTGAAGGTCTTTTCCAACCTGAGCAGTTCTATGATTCTGTGAGCTGTAAAACTGAATATACACTTAATTTTACCTGTTGTTTTTTGTCTTTGAACCACTTTAAAATACATGTGAAATCTTTTATTCCATGTCCATCTTAAGCTTTTTTGCCCAAGGAATCTGTCAGAAACATATGGGAAGTCTAGATGGGCTAAATTCAGAAATCTACTTCAGGTATGTTTCTACCAAGGAACTTAAGTAATTCTGAGGTACAATCTTTCTTTAACAAAAGCTGTGCTAGACTTCCATGGTTCCTCAAAACTCAAAATGAAAACTTATTACATTTGAATTCAGAAGTAATACCTATGTGTGTCTTACTTATATTCCTTGCTGTTGTTGCTGCCAGTTGTTCATTTGCAGATGCTGCTTTCAAGTTGACTCTATGCTTGCCATACTTTAACCCTTGGGTAGCAATGCAGTTTCAGATAAATTAATTTTTAGCAGCACAAGTCCTTTGGTATTCTTGGATAAACACTGTTGTGCTTGCTGAATGTGAACATGAGTTCTGATACGTAATATTAGCTGGAACTCAATGCACAGCAAAGATTTCTCAAATGAACTCTTTCTGCACTGGTGGCTTATTTTTCACTTTGTTCAAAGACTTGCTGTAGTTTGTTTGTACTCTGCATGCTGTAGTTGGGAATTTGGAGGTCTTGCCTCATTTTCTGTTACTCAAATGTTTGCTGAAAATCCTGAATTTCAGTTTTCTTGTTTTCCCTAGCTCTTGCTTTTATGTGTCTTCACCTGTACATTAGTTTGTTCTTCATTTCAATGAAATAACATGTGTAGTTGCTTTGTAGTAATTCATGTTTACCTTTCCTTTTAACCATAACTCTTCTCTTGCTTACAGTTTTTTCTCATGCATGATTCCATTTATTATTATTTCATAGCAGTTATAATAGTTCTTGGGCAAATCTGAATCTTTGGCTCCATAGGAGATTGATTTTGATTCTGAATCTTCATATTGTGTTGAAGGTAACAAAGACTTATTTTAGAATGAGATCTGTGTTTAAGTCCTTACCATCTTTTTGAGGGGCATAATTAACATTTTCCCAAATGTAAACTGTTGGAAGCTACTAGTTTATTGACCTTCGTTATGCAAACATTCGTAGTTTATATCTGGGGGAATGTGGACCATTACCTGTAGTTTGTGTGTGTTGCTTTTGTTTGTTTAAATTTCCTTTGTTCATTGGTCCTCTTCTGGAGTTTGACTAATGGCCATTTGGAATACCTTCAGTGTGAACAGCCAAATCTTGAGCTATTGTCCAAATTTCCTTAATCTGGAGATTAAAAAAAATTTTTTTTTTTCCTTTACTGCTATACTTTTTATGTTTTTTAGAACACTGTAGCTGGTAATACATCCATACATTTGTATAATCTAAGTGGATGTTCTAGAATATGTTAGAATTTAATTCTGTGACTCAGTCTTTAACAGAAGAAAATTTTTTACAGCGTATCCCATATACCACTACTTCTCTACTGGCATCCAATGGAAATGTCCACCAGTTATGACTGTTACTGATGTTATTGCTGCTGTGTCTAAATTTCATAAAGAAGCATTGGGAAATGTCATGCTTTTTATAGATGAAAAGTCATCCAACTTACAAGGGTACTGCACTCTCTCTAATATTCTGAGTCAGAGGCTACAATGGCTATTTTTCCCCCTCCCTTGTAGATAATCTGTGGAGCACCTATTCGGAGAAAGGATCAATAGTTGAGAAAAAAAGTCAGCCATCAATTTCTGGATCAGAAGACATAAAAATGGGTGGACGTCCTTATGTTTTCACAGACATCATGACCTACTTCACAGTGCTTGTAGGGATTTATTTCCCATCTGTAACAGGTAGACTAAAACTTTTTTTCTTGAATGAGAATGTGTGTTTATAGCTGAAGAAAAAAATGTGGTGTGAATATTGATGACACATGGAATTCCTTATCTGTCCAAGTTTTAAGTAATAGATTTTCTGGTGCTAGAGAGACATAGCTGGCTGCTGTTTATTTTAGGGGTTTATAGAACTTAATGGATCAGTTGACAGGCTGTTTTCTACCTCTCACAGAAAAAAGAAACCTCGATGGCTATTCACAGTAAGTTGCAGCTGAATTAAAAGTTTTTATCTTTACAATGTTTTAATCTTCAAATGCATGCAAGAAAACTGTTATGTATTATGTACATTGTACCTTCTTTAAAATTCTGGGTTGTGGGGTTTTTTGGTTTGTTTGTTTGTTTTCTTCTCAGCTTTAACAGTAGACTTTTTTTGATCAAGACTAAAAGCTAGGTTAGTTTCCCTCAGATTTCATTTTACTGAAATTACCAGAAAACTTTTTATTGAAAAATCCCAGATCAAGCAATTTAATATCAAAGAACAAAACAGAATTTTGATTCAAATTTGCAGCACTATTTACTAATAGAATACCAAATGGAGGTGTCTCTTCATATTCTCCACTGTTCTCACTTCTGTATTTCCCTCTTTCTCTCTTTATCAGCACCTCATCATATCCCAGCTTGTAGTTAGGATTTCACTGTGTGGAGTTCAACAATATTTTTGCATTGGAATGTGTTGACCTTAGCTACTGTTTTTTGTCTCTAGTGGTGATAAGGCAATTCTAGGGAAGAATGTTTTTATTCTACTTTTTAACATTGTGTCAGTAAAAATTTTTTGTTCTCTAATTAGGTTAGAGAAACATGAAGGTGTGCCTGTGATCTCATGACCATTCCTTTTGTGCTTCTTATTGCTCCCTTCTTTTTGTTTCATTTTTGTTATTTAGTAGATTTGTTTGCATACCTTACTATGTATGGTCTGCTTAGTAAGAATTTGTACATCTGGTCATGCTGGTAAAAATTCCTAGTCTCATGTTTATAACATCCATCTCCTACGTTTTGCTTTTCTTGTACACTTTCCTGTTCTAAAAATGATCAAGTTTTTACTGAGCCTTCTGGATTTAGTTCCCTCAGAGATAAGTGGTAACACAAATTTATGAATCAAAATAAGGATTGATGCAGTAATATAATAATTTCTGTAGCTTGCTTTTTGGTTATGATACAATAAAAGTTAAATATTCCAGTTCTATTGGTTATTTAAGTGAAGTTAGAATTCACTGGTTTTATGACATACAAATTTCTTTTTCTTTAGGTATTATGGCAGGTTCAAACAGATCTGGTGATCTTAAGGATGCTCAGAAATCTATTCCTACTGGAACAATTTTAGCTATTTCTACTACTTCTTTTATTTGTATCCTTTGTGCTGTGACTTTTTTTTCTAGTCCAAATTCTGTAGGCATGGTATTGATTTTTTTTTTTTTTTTAAGTCATTGAGTAGCCTGAGTATAAAATTAATGAAATCCAACCTGAAAATAAATCTTTTTTATTTATATATATATATATTACATATTTATAAGCATATACATATATTATGTGTTTTATATATATATAACTGTAAAATATATGCACATAGATGGTTAAAATGTCCTGTTTTCTACTAAGGTTTCAAACTCCAGCTTACAGCAAACTCCAAATTACAATTTATTTATAGTTAATCGATAGAGATTTATAGCATATTTCAGTTGGCAGATTGCTTTGTACTCAGTACAGCCACTGAAAATCTTAGAGCTAGGTAACAGCAGTAGAAATTGTTATTTATTCAGTAACTAGAAGACACAAATATCTTTGCATAAGAAATTACATGTTCTGTTTTGTGATGCATGAGCTGTTTGCTTCCAATACATTATAAAACAATTGTGGATCAAATGCAGGACATATGTAAAGAACATAAACTAAACATTTGTAGTATGGGAGAATAATAATAATAAAAGCAAAAACAAAAAAACTGAAGTTAGTTATCATGGACATTTAAGTTTTTCTCTATATAATTATTTATTTACAATTTATCTTCCTTCAGTCTCAATAATAGATCTTTCTTGCATAGTGTTGTTTGGTGCCTGTATAGAAGGTGTGGTATTAAGAGATAAGTAAGTTGCATTCAACTAGTTATTCTATAGGGAGCATGTATGATCATGAGTTTTGTTAATTAGATTTCATTTCATTAATGGCTCTTCTGGGAAACATCCATGTGGAATATTAGAGGAAGCATATAGAGGAAGCATCTGGGATAAATGTTTGTGAAGTGGAACTGTTCCTAATTAAACACTCTTGAGAGACAAAAGCATAGTCGGTATTTGTAGAATTGGCTGAGATGGAGGTAAGTGTGTTTTTATTAGGTCAGGAGAGGTAGTATGCTCCTGAGGAATAAAGATGAAAATTTTTTTTGACACCTGTATGACAAGTGGAGTTCATCAGAAAGAATACAATATACCATCTAGTGGATGCATGACACCTCTTGGTTTTTAAAATGATCACTTTAGGACTCATATTAGGACAGATTTTGCAAGCTGAATGCAGGTAATCTGTCAGAGTCATAGAAGGGTTAGGGTTGAAGGGACCCCAAGGTGCATCAAGTTCCAACCCCCCTGCCACATGCAGGGCCACCAACCTCCACATTTAATACCAGCCCAGGCTGCCCAGGGCCCCATCCAACCTGGCCTTGAACACCTCCAAGGATGGATGGGGCATCCACAGCCTCTCTGGGCAGCTGTTCCAGCACCTCACCACTCTCTGTGAAGAAACTTCCCCCTGACATCCAATCTTAATCCTCCCTCCTTGAGCTTAAAAACATTTCCCCCTTGTCTTACCGCTAACTACCTGAGTAAAAAGTTGATTCCCCTCCTGTTTATAATCCCCTTTTAAGTACTGGAAGGCTGTAATGAGGTCTCCTTGCAGCCTTCTCTTCTGCAGGCTGAAGAAGCCCAACTCTCTCAGCTTGCCTTCATAGGGGAGATGCTCCAGCCCTCTGATTGTATTTGTGGTCTGGACCTTCTCCAACAGCTCCACAGATCTGTTGCTAGAGCAGAATGCATTTGCAGCAAGATGACTGATCCAAGATTGTTGATTCATTTACACAGCTGCCAGTTCATGTTTTTCTGAAGTCTAGCATAAGAATGAAATGTAGCACGATTTGTCTATTTCAAAGTCTGTTTTTCTTTTCATTGTGGGTTGTCATATTTGCAGTGGAAAGAAAAACCTTGTACATTCTTTCACATTTCAAGTTTTCTTAAAAATGGAGCCAAATTCCAGTACTTGTATTAAGAATGAAGATGCAGCTCAGAGAAACATAGCCTGTTTTTCTCCTTTGTATTTAAAGGATGTCTTTTCCTGTCTTCTCATCTACTGAAGATAGTATGTGGCTGTACAAGCTTTAGAATATGCAAGAACTTGAACACTTGTTTACAACTGATCTGATTATTATGTCTCTGAACTTTGTCAAGTAGCTGGTCCAAATAGAGAAGTATTTAACTTTTCTTAGCCTATAGCCTTTTCTTTTCTCTGGTGTTTATTAAAATAAATTAAAAAAAGTGAAGAAGTTATATGCTACCACAGTACCATAGAGCGCATGTTCTTGAAACTGATTTTGGTTACTTGCTTACAAAGCTAAGATGAACTACCAGAGGCTTACTTGTTTTAAAAACAAAATCATTTGGGGAAAAAAAAAAGAAGTTTTTCATTCTTTACCCAACGTGTCCATAAATGAGCATAAAGTCAATTATCTTTAGGAGGAAGAAAAGAGTAAAGAAAGAATCGGTGGCATTGGATTCAGTGCTCAGTGCTGTATTATGGAAGTTCTTCCTTTTTTTTGATACTCCCTTGTTAAAGTTGCTCTTTTGAGTTGCATTGGGTGGCATAATAATCGGAAGACATGAATAACTTGGGATGGTTGTATCCAGTAGTTTCTCTGTATCTCCTTGTCTATATATTAGTATCACACTACTAAAAGTGTGAACGTTAGTTCAACAAATCTGTTTATGCACTGGGCACGCCAGTCTTACATACAGGTGGGACACAGACTTTTTCCTTTTTTTTGGTACTGTTAACCTTGTAAAGTTTGCCAGGGTAGCTAATAGTGACTGTGTCATCTTAAAAGGCAGCATCTAAGCATCTAAGATTGTCCAAAAAGATTGAGATATGAGTTGTGAAGCTATAAAAGAAATTGTTTTAGTGTTTACTGTGGGTTGTTGTTGTTGTTAACTTGTGTTTACTCCTTGCTTTTGTGTTGTTTTTCCCTTCTCAAAGGTTTGGTGAAGCAGTTGATGGAAACCTAGTGGTTGGTACACTGGCCTGGCCTTCTCCATGGGTTATTGTGATTGGTTCATTCTTTTCAACATGTGGTGCTGGTCTCCAAAGTCTGACTGGTGCACCCCGTCTGTTGCAAGCCATTGCAAGAGATGGCATTGTACCATTTATTCAAGTGAGAGAATACTTTTATATATTTCAAGTGTGGCATTTATTTTGTTGACAGAAAAAAAAAAAGAAGCATTATTTCTGCTGTTCTTCCAGAACTAAAAAAAAAAAGATTTGAAGTCAGGACTACTTATTTACAGCAATATAGTAAGTTACTGCAGACCAAAGTTCAGTTATTTCAGTGCAATTTAGTTATTTTTGTCTGTATGTACATACATATATATAAATGTTAGTAGGTCAAGACTGAAAAACTTATGTAAATTGAAATGAGCAAAGAGACAACTAAGCTTTCTGACTCTAGACAGTGCTAATGATTGGTGTTTGTGAACTGAGTTGATTTAAATTCATGATAGAGATGAATATCACTTCTCACATCAGAGATATAGTTCTCACTTTTATTCATTTTTGGAGGCTGAGTGAAGTCAAGAGTAACAATGTAATTCCCTCATATGACTCCATGTATCAAGACTTTTCTTTTTGAGGGATTTGAGACTTGGAAGGTACTTGCAGTTTTGGAGTCATACAACTGTTGCATGGGCAATTAGGAACGAAAGGAGATTAATATGGGGACAACAGTCGGGCACCTTTTAAGAATGAAACAAAGGACTTTCAAATCATAATCAGGAAAAAAGTAACATTTTATTATAAAGAAAAGTAGACTTATCAATGAGTCATGGAATAGAATACAGTCACAAAGGTTGAAAAAGAACCTCCACGATTGTTCTGTCCATGAGAGAAAGCAGAGGGGAAAGGAGAACACAGAATAAAGAACGGATGAAGTGAACAACCTACACATTCGAGAAGAACATAATTATGGAAAGTAGCAGTGAGTGTGTAGTGGTTTTAAGTGTGGAGGGGAACGCAGAATAAACTAGACTCAGTCCTCTCCAAAGAGCATGTATTGATCTAACCACAGACTTGGTGCCTGTTGTGTGTGATATAAAAAATAATGCTTTCAACTGTGTTAGCTTGTTATAGACTAAATGCAACTGATGCATGCAGATTTTAAATTACTTTAGATTATTTCAACAGCAGCTGCTGATATACTTCAATGTAATGTAGTCATTGTTTTTTTTAGTAAACATTTTTTTTCATATTGGAGATAAATGTTTTTACACTCCCCCTTTTTTTTTCAACAATTTTTTTTGTTTGTTTCTTTTCCCTCCTAAATGATGACTGGGTTTGGTTCCAGGTAGTTCACTGTCTGCACTGTGTTTTAAAACACCATAATAAGCAGCTTTTTTCCAATTTTACTTTATGCTTGAATTGAACTAGGTATTCGGACATGGAAAGGCGAATGGAGAACCAACATGGGCTCTGCTCCTCACTGCTGCTATTTGTGAAATAGGAATTCTGATAGCTTCTTTGGACAATGTTGCACCCATTCTTTCAATGTAAGTATGAATTTGTTATTTCATGTTCTTTTACCTTAATAGTATTTTATGTTTGAATTCACTAGGCAATGACTTTTCTCTTTGGAGTAATACCCAATACACCTAGTTTTCTAACGAGTTACACTATCTGATCTTTGAGATAGTCTGAAACAAAAATCTTTTTAAATCACAATTTCTAGGCATAATAAACTTTCCTTGATGGATTTCTTGAATGCTAGCAAAAAGGTTTAACTTTCAATAAATAAATAAATGAACATTTTCCCTACTGAAACAGTTTCATATTTTAGGGTATGAATGGATAACAACTCCGTCTTGGAGGTTTATTGTATTTGTTTTGGGCTGATTTTGGGCTGCATTTGTTTTCTTTTCCTTAATAGGTTTTTCCTGATGTGCTATATGTTTGTAAATCTGGCTTGTGCAGTTCAAACGCTCTTACGAACTCCCAACTGGAGACCTCGTTTCAAGTATTACCACTGGTAGGGGATATTCTTTCATTCAGAATAATTAAAATTGCTTATAGAGCCTTGATTTGTTAATTTTATTGCAGACATTAATCAAAACAGACTTTCTGACTTAATTAATGTTTGAGTGCATGAACAAATTTCTCTAGCAGTAGTATTTATTTTTGTCTGTCTAGAATAGAGTTGTAATTGTGAGCCTGAAAACACGTGACTATTACAGAGGGTCTGGGAAAGGTCTGCAGGGTAAAATGTTAATAATCCAAGAGACATTCTGATTGGGTAAAAATGAAGATGAAATGGAGTATCACTTTTTGTAGAGGGGGCAAAATGGTAAAATATTTTGGGAATGTTGATTTTTTTTTTTCTTTTCATTTTGGTAATGTATATACAAAAAAACAAACCTCTGGGAAAATACCGTAATTAATATACACCAGTTTGTTCTGTAACTGACAGCTATTTTTAAAATATGTCATGCTTTGAGCATGCATTTGGAAATAAAAGTACACAGTGCACAAGTGAATACTTGATGAAGTTGGTAAAGGTCAGTTATACAAAAAGTATTTTTTTTTTAATGGATTAAAGGATGAAGAAGTTCAGAATAAGATTGGGAAAGTTTTTAAATTTTGACCCAATGTTGAAAATGCATCTGATTTTTTTATTAGCTGATTCTATAGAGAAATTTTAGTGCCAAAATGCTTTAAAGACTAGAACCTTTTGGAGACGAACAGGCCTGATTCTAGTATGGAAGAGGGTTTTTTTTTTTTTTCCCACTTTAAATGGTAAGGAGGAAGTAAAATGCTATATTTTCATCCCTGAAATATCTTTTTGGGCATTCTCAGTAAATGCTTACTAGTTTGTCGCCTAATTCCCAAAATATTTCAATGCTGGTTTTCAAGTCTTATCACTTCCACATCAAGAAGAAAGTGGGGAATTGTCTTATGATTGGTTGGTTGTTTTGCTTTGTTTTTAAAGCACCTGCTCTCACAAATAATGGGATTGTGTGAGAAATATTAGGAAGTACAAAGCATAGAATCTAATGCAGATGGGAGGGTACCAAGAATAGGATGGACCATGGTAAGGAAGGAAAAGCAGAGTTGTAAAATTTGGCAACAGTTTTCCTCCTATCCTACATTTTCCCAATGAGCCAACTGACTTACTGTGTGAATACATAATCATTTTTTTTTTTTTAAGAAAAAGCAAGTGTCAAAATGCTTGTTCAGAAGTGGGATGGGACTATTTTTTAAGTGAAACCAGTATCTTCAGTTGGCTGAAATTATGAAAGAGCAGCTGAAAAATATATTTAGACTGATGTACTCAGAAAAGAAGATAGCATTTCTTTGAAATGAAACTGGATGCATTTGGTCTCAGTACTTGCATGATAATAAAAAAGCAAACTAAAGGAACCAAACAAAACTTGTTTCTGCCTTCCTTGTCAGTACAGCGAAAGCAAGTTCTGACTTTGAAAGCAGGTGTTTGAAATTCAAGTATCTAACTAAATGTAACCAGAAAACTGCCTGGTTCTGAGCTGAGCTACATCTGTCTGAATTATAGTGGAAGCAAAGCAGGCACATAAACTTCAGTGTGGACATGCTTCTATGACTTTTCTAGCTCAGTCATTCTTGAGAGCCTTTGAAAGACAAGCCTTAAACAAGAGACATATCACAATGTAAGTGGAAAAATAATTTGTGAGTCAAAATTAATTTAAATTAATCAACTGTTTTTGCTCTAAGTAACATAATGTCCTTCGGATTGCTTGAGAAATTTCAACCAATCCATAGTAAGTGATGACAAAATGATTTGAAACTGATCCTACTTGGAGGGAATGGTAAGAGTTTCAGAACTGATAAGTGTATTAAATTTATTATGTGTAGTTCAATTGCATTTGTTTCACACAAAAGACTTCAGAATGTAATTTTTTATAAACTAAAGTTGTGAAGGTGTATTTTTACTTATACTTACCTATGAATTCACATTGGAAGGTAAGGAGAGGTCTTCTGGGGAGTTAAGTAAGAAATTGACTGTAGAATATATGCATGCCTATTTAAAAAATGGAAAAAATGGTTTCTTTTAGGACTCTTTCATTCCTGGGAATGAGTTTATGTCTTGCCTTGATGTTCATTTGCTCTTGGTACTATGCTTTGATTGCCATGCTAATCGCAGGATGTATATACAAATACATAGAATATAGAGGGTAAGACCAAATATCTTATTTATTCTATATTTAATATATTTAATATTCAGCAAAAAGATTTTTGTTATATAAAATATGTACAACTGAAGCAATAGAACTAAGAATATTCTTTGAAACAAGGTAAGATTCCATCTACATTAAAGGTTACAAGTCTGAAAATTCTTACTTCTCTGGAAGCTCAGTTCCAAAACACTCAGTAAATATAACTAATCAAAATAAGAAGCAATATAGCTGGGAAATATTAATTTAAACAAATATTGTGGTGTTAAATTCGGTAGTAGAGGTACATCACAGTTCTGGGCTCCCCAGTTCAAAAAAGACAGGGATCTCCTAGAAGGAATCCAGCAGAGGGCTGCAAAGATGATTCAGGGAGCATCTCCCTTTTGATGAAAGGCTGAGTAACCTGGGTCTGTTCAGCCTGGGGAAAGAAAGACTGAGAGGGGATCTGATTCATGTTTATAAACATCTACAGGGAGATGGGCAGCAAGTGGATGAGGCCAGGCTCTTTTCAGTGGTGTGCAGTGATAGGATGAGGAGCAATGGCCTAAAACTTGAACGTAGTAAGTTCCATGTAAGCATGTGGAAGAATGGAGCATGGAACAGGTTGCCCAGAGGATTTGTGGACTCTCCTTCTATGGAGATATTCAGATCTGTCTAGGTGCCTGTGTTTGCAACCCACTATAGGCTACCTGCTTTAGCAGGGGGGTTGGATTCAATGATCTCTTGAGGTCCCTTCCAACCTCTTCTGTGATTCTGTGATCATCTTTTGGCACCAAGCAGCAACTAATACAAAAATATAGTGAACTTCTGTGAAAGTGGTAAAACTCTGCTCTTTTGTGTCAACTTCAGCACTTTTTAGAATGGATCGCAATTAAGCCAGAACACCCACTGAAAATGATTTATTTTTTAAGGCCTAGATAATCTTTAATTTGCAATATACTTTTAGAGCCACACCTGTCAGAAATGCAAGGAGGTAGGGGAGTTAAAGAGCATATTCAATTCATTAAATAAACACATACATAAAATTTAGAGGCAATCTTGATCAGTGTGTACATTTTCCATTACCAAGGAAACGACATCTGGTGACAAAAGATGCTAGCCAAGAAAAAGACCAAGACCAGAAAATTGAAATGAGTCTAGGTATTTTGATAAGTAATGAAGCACAAATGTTTGTAGATCAACTGATGTAAACTACTCCATATTGTAGATTCTCCATCTTTTCATATCACTATCTGCAGAATAAATGTTCACCTGGAGAGGATTTTCCTGGATTGTACATAGGTCACTCTGAAAGTAATGCCTCCTATTTATTTCTATGAAAACTACAACAGATAAAAAGAGCACAGTGACACTATTTGATAAAGCAAATTCTCAGCTACAAAATACCGTATTTCAGTGTAGTCACTACCACTAGTTATGTATTTTTGCCAGCAGTGAACAAGAGCCTGCATGCCATGCTCGTAAAAATCTGTGTGGCTATCTGGAACATGGTTTGTCTTTCACATCATTGCCATCACTGCTGAAGTGTACCATCCAGCACCTCACTGTGTAAACATCCAGTATTTGGTCTTCATAAACATCTGCAAGAATTAAGGAATGTCAGTGAGGGCAATTTTTTCTGCATGGAGAAATTCAATTCCACACATTTGATTCACATGCTCATCTACATCAGATGTCATTTTGTCAGACTTCCCCTCTGCTGCAATCTGTTGCACAACAACAGAATGTAACAGAATACTCAGGGAAGGTTCAGACTCTGCTGCCATACCACCAACATCCATTAGCCTCCGACATCGTGGGCTGATGTAACAAAAAGGAGGCGTTACTTTTGAAGCAGCCCTCCTAACAGCTCCTTGTTATTAGATTCAACAGGAAATTTCTCTTGTCTGTTTTACCTTGTCCAATGAAATGATCAGTTCTGCTGATGTGTGTCTATTGGTATATTCATATGTAACATTGTACATACATCCACATTCATACACAGACTCTAGAAATGTTGAAACGTGGCTGCTGCATCTACCCTGTGGAATGATTCCATTTTGGTCAAACTCAGTCTCTGCCTTTATAAATGCAGAGTCTGATTTTTGTGGGAGGAGTGAGGGAGAATAGACCTTGAAGCATCCTAAAAATTGTTATCTAGACAAAAAAAAAAAAAAGAGTTTTAATTATTGGGTAACTGAGTAAAAGAAACTTTCTGTGTATCTGTCAGTGCACATTATAGTTGCCACCTTGTTCTCTAAGGTAAATTTTGACTTTTAGTACCTAAATTTTGAAAGAGGTCTAGAAATAACAAAGGAAGGTGAGAATTCATGAAAGGAAATAGGGAGGCATGGGTGAGATGAGAAATGGAGTGGGGCAGAGAGGAAAGGAGGGAGAAGGAAGATCGATCTAGCCAAAGTAGCATTTCCATAAAAGAGTGTAATTGCAACATTAGCCTAACATTTCTGTCCTTTGTCACCTGGAATAGTTTTGCATTGGGATGAAGAGAGATCAAAAATGTAAAGGTGGAAAGTGTTTGGGGAAGAAGGATGAAGATCTAGGTTTCTCTGGAAGGAGCTGAGAAAGAAAGGAAATAGAGAAGGTAGTAGGGATATGGGGAGAAGGTAGAACACTAGTACATAGGAAATAAAATCTTGCTTATTCTAATGCTTGAAAGCAACTTAGGAGGCTCCCATTATTACAAACTAAAACCTTTTATGTATAACATAAACCATAATAAATATTTAAAAATATTATAAACAGATTTCTTGAAAGGACCTGGGATATAAATCTGCAGTATGAGATTTTTGTTAAGCCTTCATATTTAAAAAAAAAAAAAGAGGGGGGAGACACAACTTATTTTTGATACTTTTTACCTTTCACATGGGAAAATATTCTTAATTTGTATAAATAAAGTGCACCATGTTAATTAAATCTCTTCTGCATACCAAAGAGCGGAAAAAGAGTGGGGTGATGGAATACGAGGACTCTCTTTGAATGCAGCTCGCTATGCTTTGCTTCGTGTTGAAGATGGTCCTCCTCACACCAAAAACTGGAGGTAAAAGTCCTGTGCCGTCTGAGTTTACACATAATTCACACATAAGGCTGAAGCTATTGGGAACACTACTGGTAATGCTAATGACCAAAGTGAAAGTCAACATTAAATTCACGTTTTAACTTGAGTGTGGAATAGATATAGTTACAATTCTGTAATTTCACTGTAAAGGAATATTATTTATGAGTAGCACGTAATCAGCCTTGCAGATTGCTGATTACATGGATAAAATTGAACTGACATCCATGCATTGTTGACATGGCTTTCTAAAATGCAGAATATTGTTTAATTAGAGGTTTCCAGATTCAAAGCAAGTTACCTTTGATCCTAGAGTATCTGTGAAAAACATGTGCTGCAAGTGCATAAGGCTCTTTTGCTTTTATATGTCATTCCCTGTGAAAATGTCCTGGTTTCAACTGAAACAGTGTTAATAGCACAGCACTGTTTCGGGTATTGCTGAGTAACGGATGCATGTCTGCAGCCAGACCAGGTCACTTGGCAGGGAAGAGCTAATGCCTTTATGGTGTGCAGCAGAACTAGCCTGAGGACACCTGGCCTGAGTTAGTTAAGAGGCTATTCCATACCACGTGGCCTCATGGGGAAGGCTGTAAAGCTGTGAGAAGCAGGCCAGGTCCCTGTGTAGGATTAGCTGGGCGTAGCTCGAAGGGTGGTGAGACTTTGCTTTGTTAGAGGGGTGACAGTGGTAAGTATTGTTAGCTAGGTGTTGTTCAGTGGGTGGTGAGTAATTTCTTTGTGTATATATATATATATATATATATATGTATGTATTGTTATCATCACATTTTTATTTCTGTTTCCCTTTTTTTGTCTTAGTTTATCTCAACCAACAAGTTCTGTTTTGTTTCCTGTTCTGTCCCTTGTCCTATTTGGAAGGGAACAGAATGCTGTGTGGTGCTTAGCTGCCTGCCAGGTTAAACCTCAACAGAAATATGTTGTGAAAACTTACAGAGGAATCATTATTTCTAGAACTGCTGTTACTGTAAAGTGATCAATCAAGAAACTCTCTGAGACTCACTATGGAGTGTTAGAAAGTAGGCATTCTTTAATACCAGTGCTGGATGCATGGGATACTGTCCTCCTATCGCATGTACCTTGCACAAAAAGGTCTTCAATTTATATACATGCAGAGGTCTTCCCAGACGTACGTACATATTCCATACAAAGTTGTTGAACCTCCCTTATCTGTTCAGTACAAAACCAGACCCTTCCCATTATCTGAACAAGCTGCAAGGTTGTCCATTAAGGGACTTAACAAGCTGCAACTTGTATCAGAACTTTTTAATACCTATTATAATGTAAGGCAGATTTCATTTAATAGCAGCACTTCTGAGAGTAGTTAGGTCTCATTAACACAAAATTTTACATTTGGAGCTTTTTTGTATCTAATGGGAGTAAGTGCCCATTGCTATTTTTCCAGTTAATTCCTTTTACTTGTTAAACTATCAATTTCCTTTAAGCCAACACAAAGAATGACTTAAGGTTTAAAAACAAATGCATTTTTACACATTGTCACTCTTAATTTATGCAGCAAAAATTAACTCTTTAATCAGTGAAACACACGAAAAAAGAAACTATCACAAGTTGTGATTTCACCCCTGTGGAAGCAATGGTCTTCTGCCCTTCAGTGCAGCAGTATTATTTTATCTTTAGTTGTGGAGCTGTTAAACATGAGCAGCTTCTATAGCATGTGTGAGCCACTAGTCTTTATACTTTGTGTGAACTGACAAGCACTGACAACCATTAGTGCAATGTGACAATGCTTCCATTAAATGTCTGCCATCACTTCAGTTCCAGATGACTTATTCTCTTGTTTTGTTAAGATAATTGCTAGAACAAGACTTCCTTCCGTATTAAAATCTGATGTTGAGGAGGGAAGTACATTCAATTTCTCTTGCAGCTCTTTTGAACTTTTGGTAATTAGAGGAAAATCCTAGATTCAGTTTGGGGAAAGTATGCAAATTATACTCTATATACTATATATTGAATAAAGGAAACGGAATGCAACCACATTTAGCATGGAGGCTAAATTGAACTTGTGGTGCTATCAGTGCAGTCAAGGGTATGACTATCTTTAGGAAGGACCTAGTCAGGTGTAGGAATGAGTCAATGTGAACATCTTGAAAATCCAGGACAAGTTCAAAGTCATGTCCATGGGACATCTTTTCCTAGTGCAGTGGTACAGCATGGGAATGATGCAAAAGGATCTGTTGTTTCCAGTGCGCAGTAAACAATCAATATGACTTGGCATAAGCAAATATTCCTCTTTACTCAGCACTCTTCAGAGTACACGTGGAATATTTCACCCCATTTTAGGCACCCCAGCATCAACCAGACATCAGTAAGCTGTGTCATGTTCAGCAGAGGACTAACAGGATGGTTGGGGCACTGGAGCACATCCCTTGAAAGGAAAGGCTGAGGCAACTCGTCTTACACAGCTTGAAGGAGGCTTAAGTGGAACCAAAAACTAGTGTAAATAGCTATACGTATCCAGTCCCCAGGAGATGTTGTGGAGCAAGATCCTTTACAGCACTATATGGTGTGAGAATAAGAGAAAGCGATATAATGGGAAGAGGTGGTAGAATCTCTGCCATGAAAGTTTTCAAGATCCAACGGGACCAAGACCTAAACACTCTGGAGTACAATTCAGTATTTAACTGCTTCAAGCAGCAGGTTGCACGAGAAAACCTCCAGGGGGTGATAATTCGGCTTCAACAATTTTCTTGGTGGTACTGGTTTGGTTTGGATTTTTTTCAGGTTACTCGTGTACCTGAATTGTGGCAGCCACTGCTCATTGTGATTTTTTTTTCTTACTTGATGTTTACTACTTTTGCATTAAGCACTAAATCTGCACTTTATTACTTGTTAATTCTACTTTTTCAGTTCTTTACCACTTCTGTGTATGTATGCGTCACATGTAATTTTTTTTTTTTTTGGCAGACCCCAACTTCTGGTCTTGTTAAATTTGGATTGCGAACAGTTGGTGAAGCATCCGCGATTGCTTTCTTTCACTTCTCAGCTGAAAGCTGGTAAAGGGCTGACTATTGTGGGATCTGTGCTTCAAGGAACCTACTTGGATAGATGTGTAGAAACTCAGAAAGCCGAAGAGGTGTGTAAAAGTCAGCTTACAAGCCTTCTGTAAATTCTATTAGTATTTAAATATCGAATCTGATATTCTGAATTCAGGTACAGTTTAAAAAAAAGCCTTTTATAAAAATGTTTTGATTGATCTGTTTGCGTATTTAAATTTAAAAGTTTGCTCTACTGTAACAAAATGTCTTTCAAAATTTCCCAACGAGTCAATACTGATGCTGCTTAATTTTTCTCAGCATTGAGGGCCAGACGGGCTCAATTTATTTTATATTCTTGTAAAATCTGGGTGATATATTTCTAAAAAAACACTCCATAAGAAAATTGATTTATTCATTTAAGAAATGCAGACGTTGGCATTATTTCAACTGTGTGGAAAAAACCTAAAAACATCTGAACTCCAAGATTTTAAATCTGTCACTGGAATGAAAACTGGAAATTAATACAGAAATTCTGAAGATCTGTTTCAGAATCCACTGATCAACTTTGATTTTCAGTGCCAAGCAAGCGTACATTGCTGTTCTATCTAAATCAACTTGTTTACTACTTTGTATACCCCAGTAGTTCCAGTGTTGATGCTTTGGTAATGATATGGATGTACAGTTGCTTATCTATGCACAGCTCTCCTACTCCTTTACAGAGCACAGTGAAACATTTTAAGAAAATACCATGTAGGCTTTAGCTGTTATGTCTTTCAGAATGGTTAATGGCAATGAGAAGCAGTTGAAATGTCTGCTGTTTCGATTGAAGAATTTTTCAACTCTATGTAAAGATTCCTGTGAATTATTCAGACCTGATATCTCAAAAATAGATCCAAGAGCTGGAAATGAATTTAAGGGAAACCTAATCCCCATGATCCTCTGAGAAGTTAGACCTGCTGGTGTCGAAGTCAGCTGTTGCTTTTAGGATAGAATTGAAGACATTTCAAAGGATGGAGTGTCTGAAGGGCTTACTGATTTTTGGAAATTTTCTGCTAGAAAATAGTGTTTCTAGAAGACTTGTGGAAAACCTTTTTTTTTTCTTTTTCAAGAGAAATGAGAAAAACCAAGCATTTAAACTGATACAGCCCTACAAATACTGTTTGGACAGGCAGATTTGTTAGCTTTACTTTCAATTTCTTTGAAGATTTTTTTCTACATAGAACAAAATTTCTCATGTGAAACACACTAAGCTTGCACCAGGCGTTCTGTAATCAAATGTCTCCCTACTGGTGTTTTATAGGGTTCTCTTGGAATTGCACTTTTTGAGTGGGAGTCTTTGTGTGGTCAGGCATAGGACTTAAGAGCAGATAATTGTCTTGCTTTTTAAACAACAGTTCTTTTGTCTGGCCTTCTGGCCTCCAGTTGTCATGGGGAAGGAGAGATGGAGATACGCTTAAAGAACAGCACACAGGGAACTGGATGAGAACTTTTACACAGTGAGACAGTTACGAGTTTGCAGCTATGAAATGAGGAGTATGAAGGGGTCAGGAGTTGTTAGGATTAAGCTCTCCTTCATTGAGAAGAAAACAGAAACAAGATGGTAAGTTAGGGATAACCTTTTCGAGGAGACTGTGGTCAGAGTGAACTGCATGGTAATGGTCTGGTCAAATGCAGAGCAGAATTGATAGTTCTCAGCATTCTTAGTTTCTGACAAAACATCCAAGCCAGTGAGCAAACCTAGTGATTCAATCTGTTTTACAGGCTGCTTCAGCTCAAAGAATATAGGAATGTTTTAGTGCTATTGCATCTGCTGGTTGTTATTTTGTGAACCTAAAAATCTATTCCTTTGAACCTCTGAATGATTTCCCTAAAAAACAAACAACAACAAACCTGAGTATTTTGATGCTTGCCAAAATTCCAAGTTTTATTGGTTCAGTGTTTTCTTTGGAAACTGTGCTGAACTTCCATGCAAATCATTAATGATGGGATTTTCAAAGTCGTGCTGTTGGGGAGCGTGGGTAATGCCAAAACTGTTTCCTGCTCAACCTTGATACTGTTTTGAATGGTGTTTACAAATTGTTTGGTTATGTGTCTATGTCAGTGTTTAAATGAAGGAGAGCCATACTGAAATCAAGGGCTGTGGGATTTAAATACAGTCAGTTTTTGTCATTATTCAGCCAGTGATTCTGATAGTCTGCACATCTCTTTTTTCCATGTTGGGAGCGGATAAATACAGAATCAGCCTCTCAGTATCAGAGCTCTCAAGGACTCCTGAAGTCTTTGGCATCCCATTTCCCAAACCCTTCCGATTCCAAAGGAAAGGATCTGCAATCCCATAAAAATGGTTTTTTATCAATCAATAAAGTTTTGGCTTCACCAGAAGCAATATTTATTAGCTTTATAAATAAATAAATAAAGCTTTGTCAATATGTTTTTATTCATATCTTCTTTGGAAGAAAAAGACTAATAACAAATGAAAACCCTCTGGTGTCTTATGTAGTGTTATTTGAGGCTTCAATTGTAGGATCAGTTCACTGCCAGGGAATTAGAGTGGTATCTTGTTGGTTGTACGTTAGTATCTAAAGTTTTGCTTATATTTGCTGTTACTCTTCATGGTATTTATTATCTGTGTTGATGACTGTATTTCCTCATGTGTAATCTTCCTTTTCCACAGAATGTTAAAGCTTTAATGGGAGTCGAAAAGACTAAAGGATTTTGCCAGATTGTGGTATCTCCTAGTTTCAGAGATGGAATATCACATTTAATTCAGTCAGCTGGCCTAGGAGGAATGAAACACAATACAGTTTTGATGGCATGGCCACAGTCCTGGAAGCAGACAGAAAATCACTTCTCTTGGAAAAATTTTGTTGGTATTTGTTTTTTATTTTCTCTTACATGATTGTAAGACAACTATATGACTGATGTATGACTGATTTCCTTTGCGGGGGAAAAAAGATGTGAAGCTGAATATCCAGTTGACATTCAGTACTTCCTGAATTCTGACTTAATGTGGAGTGGGTTTTCTCAGTCCTCAGTCTCTTTAACTATTGATTTCTCTTTTCCTCTTAAGCAGATTAGCCACTAAACTCAGCTGGATTTAAGCTTTTGAATTTAAAACAAACATTGTGAATGAAAACTAGAAGTTCTTGATCAAATGTCTTATTTTCCCCTGCAGACACTGTACGAGAAACAACTGCAGCTCAGCAAGCTTTATTGGTGGCTAAAAACATCGACTTGTTTCCAACAAATCAAGAACGTTTTACTGAAGGAAACATAGACATCTGGTGGATTGTTCATGATGGTGGAATGTTGATGTTGCTGCCTTTTCTTCTTCGTCAACACAAGGCAAGTACAATAAGAAACAGCTTGGATTCCATTTTCTTATAGCAGGTCTTCATAAAGCTCTCCAATGAAATATGCTCAGAGTCTGCAATCATTGTAATATGAACAGATAAAAATAAACTATTTTTGGCTAGGTTTGGAGAAAATGTAAGATGCGTATCTTCACGGTTGCTCAAATGGATGATAACAGCATCCAAATGAAGAAAGATCTTCAGATGTTCTTGTACCATCTTCGCCTCAATGCTGAAGTGGAAGTTGTTGAAATGGTATGTTACTACATTTTTTTTAATAAAGCTGAAATTAGGACTAAACTTGGAAACCGAGCATGTTAGCCCAAATACAGTGCTGCAAGAAATGCAAGACTTCAGTCCCACCAAGAAAAAGAAGTTGCTTTGTAACACAGTGCTATCATACCATGCTGCAATGCCAGATGTGGTAGTGAGTTTAATGGTGTGTCAATTAGAGGTGAGTAATTTTGATATGCATTAATACTTACTTTATGAAGATTGGTCTGTAGATAAGAGTTCATTCAAGAGGGCAAAAGCCTGAATTACTGGTAATTGTTGATGTGACTAACATATGTTTCTCCAGCTGATGTACAAATGTATCTCTAGAATAAAAAATCTCTGGCCTCTGTGGCACTGCCAGTCTCTTTGGCAATGAACAACAAGACTACATAGATATGGATTCACAGTTCAAATTGTGATAAATTGAATTTCATAACTTCCTTCCTTCTTTTTTAAACACTGGTTATAACCTGATAAAAAGAAAGAGGTAAAGCTGTAACCTGCACACTCATCTGGCAAATAAGGAGAAGTGTGATTTCATTTCCATTGCTAAGACTAAACATATCTTCTACGCCCTCATCTGAAGTGTAGTGAAGGGGTTGTGGGAGTGAGTTGCTCCTCCCAGGACCTGGTGTTCTTAGGAGCTTTTTGAGCCGCGTACCTCTCAAAAATGTTTATCATGCCATAAAACAAATATAGACTGTTACAAGAATTGCTTAACATAAATAAGTGTGGCATGCACAGGTGAAAGAAGCTTGAAAGATTGAGTGCCATTAAAAGACTCCCTTAGTTACATTTAAAGCAGATGGGAAGCACATATAGGAAGCACAATGTATTTCTTTCTTATCTTGCCTGTATTTAAGCACAGGAATCTTCCAAATTATAAGAAATACTTTAAATGTCATTGACATTAGTAAGAGCTCTAGGTTATGTTTTAGATTTAGATCTGAGAATCACAGAATGGCTTGGATTGAAAGGGCCCTTTAAGATCGTGTAGCCCCAATCCACCTGCTGTAGGTCAGGACATCCATTAACCAGGTTGCACAAAGCCCTATCCAGTCTGGCCTTGAACACAGGGTAGGGGCATCCACAGCATCTCCAGTGTCTCACCACCCTCACAGCAAAGAATTTCTTCCTAATATCTGGTCTAAATCTACCCTCTTCCAGTTTAAAGCCATTTCCCCTTGTCCTGTCACTACGTGCCCTTGGAACAAGTCCCTCCTCAGCTTTCCTGTAGGCCCTCTTCAGGTACTGGAAGGCTGCCATAAGGTCCTCTGAAGCCTTCTCTAGGCTAAAGAGCCCCACCTCCCTCATCCTGTCCTCATAGGAAAGGTGCTTCAGCCCTCATCTTCATGGCCCTCCTCAGGACCCGCTCCAGCAGCTTGTTGTGCTTACGTGTTGTCGGCCCCAGAGCTGGACTCCAGGTGGAATATATGCTGAAATTGCTTCATTAGTGCTTCTTTTTGAACAGTTCTCACTGGAGAAAGGACAGTGTGTTATGTTGTAGCTCTAGACTGTTTTCAAAGACACCATTATGCAAACATCCTCTGGAGTCTGCGGTGCAGGTAGTTTAAACGAACAGCTACCTTACCTGCTTCTGCAGTTATATTGGAACAGAACAGTGGAAAGTCTGTCATGTGAATCTCAAATTCAGCTGATACTACATTGCTGTTAGTATTGTATAATAGTTAATGGTAGAAGATTGTCTTCATTCTTAAAGCTTAATCTTCAGGTAACAGAAATGATCAATGAAATATACTCTTGGGATTACTCTAAAGCCATTCATGAATCCAGGGTTCAATGAATGCAAGAATAAGCGGGGTACAAGTGTCTCAATGTTTTTGATTTTTTTTTTTTTTAAGTAGTACTTCTGATATTTCTTATGTCAATCATTTTTGCAGTTTGAAAATGATATTTCTGCATTCACATATGAGAAGACACTAATGATGGAACAGCGATCCCAGATGCTAAAACAGATGCAGCTATCAAAAAATGAAAGGGAAAGAGAGGTAGGAACTTCTAACTTGGCAAGATATTCTATGAAAAATCTAAAAATTATTTGGTTGTTTTTAATCCAAGATTTTAATCTGTTTGTAACCAGCTTTTATAGCTGCATTCTATCTTACTTTCTCTGCAGCAGGTTTCACTTACAAGAATAAAAGAATCTTAAACATAACTCCTTTTGCATTTAGATAAAAGTTTCTAGAGTTTTCCAGTTCTTTTTGTTAAGCTTAGTGCAGGTATTTGAGTGGCAGTGTGTAGAACATCTGGAACACTTCCAAGATTGAGATAAATAATGCTAATAATGAGATATGATTACTTAACTGGACCGATTAGCTTTTTTGTTTAGCTTACTTCCTGGAGCCAAAATTAGGCTGAGTATCTGTAGGGAAACGGTTAGGTCATGGCTTGAACTGGTGACTGAGCACCTGGTGAAAGGGTTTGTCTGGCCCAGGGAGCACAGGCAGACTGTTTGTACTGTGCTCCTGTGACAGGAGAGAACCAGAGTGGAGGCACCCAGTGCTCATGTAAGGGCCAGGCACAGGAGGGAGAGCATCTGTTGGACCTAGGCAGCTTTCTAAGAATGCTGTGTAGTCAGAGAGCCCCCCTTCACCAGTCGGGTGAGCTAGATGCTTTTTCTGTATGTGTCTGTTGGCCTATCTGTGAATACCTGGTGTTGCCAAGTACCTGTCAGAAGCAGTTTTGTGTCTTTGTTAGCAGAACACTAACTATAATCCTACATGTTTGCTCTTCTCCTGCTCTTGCTGGTTTGTAGTGATGTTTTGCATTCTGTAGTAACTAGCTTCATGCAACTGTGTTTTCCCCAGTATTAAAATATGATCCTTTTTCTCTTTTGATCGCCATCCATTCATTTATTCTATTAACCACTGCTAACACTTTTTAGTGGTATAAAAGTTACTAAATATTTTGGCATTTCTGTCATTTGTGGTGTTTTCTGTCCTGTGCTAAAGAAAACGTCTTTATTGTGTTAAGCTGCTCACTTATGAAATAACTAGATTTTTTTTTTGTTCAATAAAAATTGTAGCTTATTTTACAGCTTAGGGTTTTTTTGTGTGTTAATTCGTAATGTCTGTGCACTTCCTTTATTTTTATCCTTATTTATTCTTTTCCTATTTGTAGGATTTCCTGAAGGTGCCTTGTAATGCTATGTTAATACATGGCCATAAATTCTCCTTTCTTTATTGGTTCTCTTTTGGACTGAGCCTATGCAATGCCTTTTTAGTGAAAAGACCTCTCCTGTATTTCTTTAGTAAACAATTTTTAATCTTCGTCATACCTTGCTTTGAATTACTGATCACACAAACAATTTTCCAGTGAAGTTGAGTGATTAATCAATCTACAGCAGGCTCTAGGATTTAATTTCCTTATGAAAACTACAGGCAACCTAAGGATACTTCAGGGCACTATAATCTATGGCTTATAAATTTGTAGTGGAGACAAAAGACTTCCTGGGCTCTGTGATTTAGTTGGAATCTGCACTATTCCAGAGTGGTGGTCACCTGAAATCTTTCAATCCTTTGTTCTCTCCTCCTCCTCTACCCTGTTCTCCATTGTTTTTATTACTCATTTCTGTCTGAATGTAACCATCACCATTACAGTGTCAGTTTCTTTCTTCGTACCTTGGTAATTTCAACAACCAGTATTATTTGCTCTCCCGTGAAGTCTTTATTCAGGAATGATAATAAAAAGTAATTCATCTGTTGTTTCTGATTAGGAGAACTTGAGCCTCACTCAAGTTTTATGATAGTCTCTAAAATAGTTTTCTCTTTAGTATCATAGAATCATAGAATGGCCTGGGTTGAAAAGAAGCACAATGCTCATCCAGTTCCAACCCCTGCTGTGTGCAGGTCACCAACCAGCAGCCCAGGCTGCCCAGAGCCACATCCAGCCTGGCCTTGAATGCCTGCAGGGATGGGGCATCCACAGCCTCCTTGGGCAACCTGTGCCAGTGCCTCACCACCCTCTGGATGAAAAACTTCCTCCTAATATCCAACCCAAACCTCCCCTGTCTCAGTTTAAAACCATTCCCCTTGTCCTGTCACCATCCACCCTCACAAACAGCCATTCCCCCTCCTGTTTCTACACTCCCTCCAAGCACTGGAAGGCCACCATGAGGTCTCTCCACAGCCTTCTCTTCTCCAAGCTCAACAAGCCCAGTTCCCTCAGCCTTTCCTCAGCACTGCAGTAATGTTCCAGCTTTTTCAGTAGTGCATGTACTTCTATTGTTTCTTGTTACCAACAAAATTAATATTTTATCCTTCTTTTTGTGTTTGTACATCTTCAGACCAGGTTTAAACCTATACAAAGAGAGAACTTGTTGAACAGTGTTCTTTTGCTGTTTTTCACGTAGGCCTGTTCCTATATCTGAGTTCTCACTCTTGCCCCTCTCCTTTTTTCTCACTTGTTTTTAAAGGAGCTTTGTTTGGTCTTGACCCTGTGATGGCTGGGTTTTCTTGTGGATTTGGAACACAGGGCACTTCTTCCTTTTGTTTGCTCTTTTCTATTCTTATTAGTTTTGAGCAAGCTTTCTTCTATCTAAGTGTAAACACAACAAATGCCTACTGAGCTTAAGATCTGCAGACTTAGGCCCATGTGCCAGACGTTTATTCAGTTTGATAATATTTCTGCAAATATGAAAGAAACTGTAGATGCAGATTCACTTTGTTGCTACTTTGCTTGATTGCAGTTGTCTTCCTTCTGTGACTAGTCCTAACTGTTGGGCCAGGTAGCAGTTATGTTGAAGCTGTGGAAAAGAAGTCATCCATCACAGCTCTGCTTTGTATTGAATTGAATTGTACTGAACTGTTTTAATTGGTGCTCTGTAGATTGTGGCTGGTAGGTAAGATTGAGAGAAACGTGGGGAAATTATAGTTAGTGAACTGTTGGGGAATAAATCAATATTTAGAGCTGAAAAGCAGTTTTTTCGTCTGTTTATGTTTTGTCCACATTTTGATTGTGAGTGAATGAAACCTGTTCATCTGAATCATCGTATGTAAGAAAGGATGAGACTTTCATGCATGTGTACTTCAGGTACTCATACAGACAAAAGGATTTAATATCACGATTTACAAAATCTCTGTGTAGAGACTTTGAAACTGTTAGCAGTTAGTTATGAAAAGAACCCCACAATAAGTAATGTGTATAACAAATATCATGCTTGTGAAAACAAACCAAGTTTATAACAACCTAAGGGCTGTTAAAAAAAAAAAAAGGCAATTTTTATTTTGAATGATACAGTCATCTTATTTCTTGGGCTCTTTTTTTGTCACTGGTAACCTTTTTGTCCCAGATTCAGAGCATCACTGATGAATCTCGAGGTTCTGTCAGAAGAAAAAGCTGCTCTAGTCCACAATCCATTGGCCAAGATGTACAGGCACTGCTGAATAATGATTATGAAAAGGAGGAGGTAGCTAGAAGTAGCACTCTGTAGGTTTTTCCATTGCAACGCTTGAAGTGCCACTGTTGCAAACCAGACTAGCAATGAACAAGTTCCTTTCATTGTCCTTAAAGCAGTCCTTCATAAACTTTTAGTACTCTCTTAACTGTACCTTCTTTCTCTAGATGATGTTTGTGACAGTAATGACATCTTTATTTTGTCACTATTAGTTTCCATAAAAGAAATATTTGTTGTCTGAGAGCATGTTTTTGTTAAAAGCATAAATATTTGTTTCTTCTCTTAAAAATGTTAATAGTGGGTGTTAGATTAATATTTCATGCTTTCAGAGCATTGTTTTTTCTTTATAGTTGCTGTACCGAAGTGCTGAATTTTCTAAGTCCGTATAGATGTATTAGGATTTTTGTAAGTAGAAAAGGCTTCTTTGCGTATTGATATGCAACTGTTACTCCATAAGAGTCACAGCTACTTTTCTACATAGAGAGTTTGAAATTAAATGGACTGCTGTAATTAATGCTTTTAGTGTGCACTTCAAGTGTTGCTTATCTGGGTAGATTCAGTGCCTAGTTTGTAGAAGTGGTGTATTCCTTTGTTCCCCTTCTTGAAGTGTGAGAAGAATGCTTTATTCTATATAATTAATTTGGCTACAAAGTAGCACTGAAAAATGTGCCTTTTTTATATATGCAGTTTTATGAACATGTGCTATAGGTGCAGATTTTTTCTTGGGCCCATCTCTAGCTTCTATTAAAGCACAATTGAAGTCACCTCACAGCTGTTAGTTTTAGCACGTTGGTTACTGCTCTGCAGCATGAATCTGCCTGAATTTGTTAACTTGTTCTGTTATAAGAATTGCTGCTGTATTCACAGTAACTTCTGATTGGTAGACTTGACTCATCAGTCAGTCTTCTGCGAGATATGAAGACTATCAAACAAGTGGTGTTTATATGTGAACCACAGAATTGAACTCTAGGATTTGGGAATCCTCGAGGTTAGACTAGGAACTAGAGAAATAATTTAGGAAAAACTTAGGAGCTCTTACACTGTTAAAAACAGCTGAAATTACAAACCAAGAACCACTGGGGGAATCAGTATTTAGAGATGGAAAACAGTTCTCTTATTTGCCTTCATTTTATTCATGTCATTGGGACTGAAGGAAATCAATTCTCCTGAGTTGTCACGTGTATGGAGGGACCAAAGTGAACACTTGAAGCTCTTGAATAGAATGGAGGACTCAGTTCATGATTTGACAAGTCGCTGCGGAGAGTTCAAAGCTATTAAAACTTTAAAAATAAGCAAAATAAAACTCCAACCAAGAAAAACACCACAAAACCAATCACTGCTCCCCTAATGCCCGTTCATTCAAACTGCAAGTGAACTTGTTCTGTCTTTGATGGGAACTACAGTGTTTATAGCAGTGTCAGAGCAAGTTAAAAATAACTGATAGTGCATTGTCCTAATGACTAACCTCCAACTGGATTCAGACTATTCAGTATGTTGTAAAAATCACATCCCAGCCTGAAGTTCACCTGCATAGATAAATAACTGGACTTCTACAAGCAATTTCCTTTCATGCCAGTTCAAAACACTGATGTTTGTCTCGTATTTGTTCTCAAAATAAGGTACTCTTTTTTTCCTTCTTTTGCTACACTGCAGTGAAATTGCATTTCAAGAATTAATAACCTGTAACCTATAATCTTATTTTTTTTCTGTGTGTGGCCAGGCTCAGTTGATCCATGACAGAAACACAGCCTCACGCTCAGCTCCAGCTGTCAAAGCAAGTGTGGCTGCTGCCATGCCAGAAAAAGTGCAAATGACCTGGACTAAAGAGAAGTTTGTAGCTGAAAAACATAAAAACAAAGACACAAATGTGTCAGGTTTTAAAGATATTTTCAGCATGAAGCCGTAAGTACACACGTGGTGGTTGAAGCTTGTCTTTTTTGTGGGGGTTTTCTTGTTTGCTTTCTGTAGGTGTGTTTGTGTTGAGCTCCACAGTCTGTTTTCAAGAGATCATGGTTTATCTGACATTGACTGAACATATGATCTTTCCATGAACTTAAATGCCATCCTTGTGAGACGGGCTGGGTGGGGTAACAGTGTTTCTAATGAACAGTTAATACGCACCTAAAATATTTACTAGAATGTCATGAATGAAGGTCGAATGCATCAGGCTTTTAAGATTTTCAGCTTCTTGATTGAAGTGTTTTGTTTCCTTCCTCAATACCTAATTATTGTATATTATTTGCCTTAATTTTTTTTTGGGGGGTACAGCAAGTACAAAGAAGCAGATATGAATTCTTCAAAATATTTAGTTCATATGGTTGTTTTTTCTTGAAAAAGACATTAGGTTTTCATCCTGTAAATTAAGTGTATAGCCACAAGTTTTATACTGCTCTATATGTATGTTTTGATATATTCAATCTTTTCTGGTGAAACTGTTATATTCCTTAATGTCTTTTTCAAACAGAAGACTCTCAACACGAGCTACTTCCTGTGTCAGGCCTGGTATAGTAGGCATACGTAACTAAAGAAAGGACATCAGCTTGTTCACTTCCTTCTTTTTTTTGTGATTCAAGTTGCACGCGTGCATCTTTTCTGAGGCCTGTAAGAAAGGAGTTCTAGGCATGGTCTAGTCAATTTTCTACACATGCTTAAAGCGAAATTGTGAATGTGCCATGCTCTTTGCAAAGAGTTTATCTTTTGTAAATTCCAGACACCTTGCAAAATGAGGCCATCACCTTCTAGAATACCTTTATTTTGTTTTATTCTGGCCTCCATTATTCTCTCATTCTTAGGAGTTTTGTTGTTGTTGCGTGTTTAGTTTTTTAAAAATAGGATCCTGTAAAGATTTCCTCTTATTTCTTTAGAATTGTGCAGAGTGTAGACTTCAACTACTCTTATTTAGAAACTACTACGTATCATTGGGAGTATAAATTACAGTTTGAACTTGATGTGCTTGTACAGTTATTATTACTGGTGAATTAAAATGTTCTCGATACTATAAAAATAACTTCTTATGCATTTGCTTCCCTCCCATATAGAGAATGGGGAAATCTGTAAGTCTCTAAATTTCCTTTCATTTAAGCAATTTAGGCTTTGTTCCCTGGCTCTTGTGGTGTTGTTCTTTGTCTGCATGTTCCTAAGCCATGATTTGCAGTTTGTGTATGTTGTTTTCTATGCTGTGCTTTAGCATTTATCACTGAAAAACAGTTTGCATCATGACCTGTTAATGGCTTGGGTTTTTTTGTGTGTAAATATTATCAGTTTTCTTTTCAAGGTAAGTTACAGAGGAATTACTTTAGTTTCTGTAAGAATGCAAGACTTGAGTGCTCTTCTCCACCAGAGTAATATTTAGTTTTCTAATTAACTACCCCTAAAAACTGAATATATACTTAGTCTGGAAAAAATATTCCCTCATGTAACAAATTCCATCCTTATGGTCCAGCTAGCTGTATCAGAAAGAGCTTTAACTTTCCACTTAATGCCAATTCTGGCTTTTCTATCATCCATGTATGGATATACATTGGGAGTGACACAAGCAGATGAAAATTAAAGAATTGAATCATAGTATCAAAGATTCTTTTATGTTGGGGTTTCTTTAACAAAGTTTCTTTACTTTCAAGATATCAAGTTCAGTTGTCAACCTAACCTACTGAGTCCCATTAGCGCCACTATCAATTACTTCCAGGGAGAAGGAATCCACCACTTCCCTGGGCAATGCATTCTAATGCTTGACCACACTCACCATGAGGAAATTTTTCCTAAAGTCCAATCTAAATGTCCCATGGTGCAGTTTGAGACAGTTTCTCGCTCTCTGTCACTGTCACCAGAGGAAGGAGACTGACACCTTCCTTCCAGATAACTGTAGAGACAGGTGACATCTACCCTCAGCCTCCTTTCCTCTAAACCTGGCGATCCCGCTTTCCACAGCCAGTCCTCATGCTTTCTAATCCTTTCACCAGCTATGGTAGTCTTTTCTGCATATGCTTGAGTAAATTAATATCCAGGAGAATAAAGTTGTCAGCTGTCAAAACACTTCACTAAAATTTTCACTAATAGCCACATCCTGCTCCTCACCTAGGCAGATCACCTTCTTGTTGGAGCAGATCATTTAGTCAGGCAGGACTTGCCTTTCATAAACCCATTGCATCTGATACACAAGGACTTGTGACTGTGTGTGTATTCTAGTTGCTTATAGAATTTGTCTTCTTCCTCTCCCACCTAGTTGGGTGATCTGCAGTAGACTCTCATCATAATACCAAATATACCTTGTTGACAAGCCCATAACCAAAGATGCACTTCTCTGACAGGAGGAATTCATCAGTGCCCAGTAAACCAGGTTTCTTAAAGAGAACTATGGTCTAAAAAGCCAAATCCCTGGCTGTAACACCAGTCCTGCAACCATTGCTGATCTGCCAGATTCAAATAGGCCTTTCAAAGGCTTTTCCTTTGACTGGTAGGATCAAAGAGAAGACTGTGTGCTCAAAGAGCATTTTGCAGTTGCTCAGAGGGGTTCTATAGCCCCTCATGACATGACTGGGATGCTCCTGACAGTAATTGATGCCCACGTGATAAAACATCAGTGGATAAGTTGTCTGTGGGCTGTTCAAAGCTTGGTAATCTCCTGGTAATGTTCCTAATGTGAGTCCCTGATATGCTGCAAGCCTCTACTGAGATTAAATCAGGTTGGCAAATGGGTGCTTCTGCTTGCCACGAAGGAGAAACCCCTATGACTATCACCCATAATACTTCTTTTGTTTGCACTGTTCAGTGTACTGGGAACAGACCAAGTGGCTCAACTGACACTGGAGTCTACTGTGACATGATGGGTCCTTCCTCTGCAGTCTTTGGAGCAGTGAAGTAGTTCTGCAAGGGCATCTCAGGCAGCAGGGAAGGTCTCATCCACCTTCCTAAAGGTCCTTGCCATAACAAGCTTACATTTTTCTGTGTTTTGAGCGTTGTTCCTTTCAGTGTATTTTTGAGGGGGAGTTTCTGGTTGTAGGTCCGATGCAGACTGTGCATGGACACACATAACTCATTCTCAGGTTCCCTGATGTGCAAACTTCTCACTGCCTATTGATGCTCAGCTACCTGCTGCAGAAGATTACTGTCTGGGCACGCTTCTTGCAAGCAGATCTGCTCCCTGTGCCTACAACAGAAGTTCTAGTTGTTTCCTGTACTTCCCCTTCAGCCACTGTGTGTGGGTAGAGGCTTCGAACAGTGCTGCTGTAGGTGGTATAGACACTCCAGCTTCAACTGTAGCCTTTATGATTGCATACCATTCTGTCTTCAGAACAGAGAAGGCTTGCCTTTATCAGTGCACATGGTCGCTGCACTTTTGGACATTGCATCCCTTTTTGTACTTGGGTAGAACCAGCTTAAGACTGCTCTGCTTTTTGTTTTTTTGTTTTTTTTTTTTCCCAGAGGTCAGCGTTGGCTTTTTGTGAATTTTCCAGTTTGAGCAGCTTAAGAAAACTAGGAGGCTTACACTGTGTTCCATGTATGACTTCAGTTCAACCAGTGTTTGAAAGCTAAGCGAGCTCAGTTCACACTGTACACAGTGAACAATTCAACCATTTATTTCAGCACTGAAATCCTGTCTGCCCCACCACACATTTATGCTCTTCCCACTTCCCCTGCATTTTATCTGTATTTTAAGAGAACTTCAGGACTTATACATCTCTTCAATTACTTCTATCTCTCTCCTCGTAGTTCTTATCAAGATGCTGTTCTGCCTTTGAAAAGCTGACCTTCAAGTATTGTGTTGTTCTATATGTGTTCTATATACAGTTTATTCTTGTTTGGGACGTATGGCCCCATGACAGGGCAGACTGATAAACTTAGCTTTGGAAATGTTACTGTATCTCTTAAGGAGAACTGGAATTGGTGGGATTGGTCTCCATTGACCGCTAAGTTTTTAGTCTTCCATTTTTCATTTTTTTCCCTCTATATTTGCACCTGCAACACTAGGGATAAATGCACACTTCAAGATGTGCTGTATGAAGGGAATGTGTGAAGGGAACAGCTGTTAGTAGGAAAATGGGACTTAACTATAGAATAGCAATATCAATAATTTCTATTGTTTCCTGATCTGAAACAATGCTGGAGCATTTCTGCTACATTTTTGACTGCTGTTACTGGAATTGGACGTGGTCAGGCAATTCAGAGGATGTTTCATGTCCTGCTGCTACTAACTTGCCAGTCCACTCCCTGACCTAAGACAGTCTGTGGGTACTGCAGAGTGGAGCAGGGTTATGCTTTAACCAGCAGTCTTGCAGTAGAAGTGCTAAGGAAATTGCATGGGATATGGTGATGCATTTTGTGTCAGCCTGTCAGTTCTGCTCTTGAGATCTGCTGTCACCATGTTTCCAAAGTTCCCTTTTGGAGCAACTGCAGTAAAGGATCTGCTTTAGGACAGTGGATGTCTTTGATAACTGGGTATTTCTGTTGCACTGGTTCATGTGACTCATTTCCAGTTCTGGCTAATTTTGTTACATAAATAACAGCATGACTTCCTCAGGAACTTCCAACAAGGAAACTTTTTTTCTTCTGAAGAGAAAATAAGTCACAGAAGGCATATGCTAAAATAAAAAAATCCCTGAAGTTTAAGCTGAAGTTTAAATGCATTTTAGATAAAATTAAAAATTCAGATGTATGAGATACATGTGAATTTATTAATTCAGTTATGTGAGTATTGTGTCAGTACCTAAAAATATTTGTGTGCTAGGAATCAGTCAAATGTGAGAAGAATGCACACTGCTGTGAAGCTCAATGGAGTGGTGCTTAATAAATCGCAACATGCTCAGCTAGTTCTCCTGAATATGCCTGGACCTCCTAAAAACAGAAAAGGAGATGAAAACTGTATCCTTTACAATATTGCTCGTGTACTTCTTGGAACTTGATTCCACTTTGCTTTAGTTTGCTTTTCACACACACAAAAAAGTGCTAGCATTATCAACTCTTGGAATTATCAACCACGGGGTTTTTGTCAACTGAATTGATGTAAGAAATTCCTGTTTTTTACTTGTCCTTTAAACTACTTTTTTCTGTAGGTAAGTAGGGTAGAATAACATGTTTTCCCATGGAAATCCCCTAAATTAATCCTCACTTCCATCTGAATAAGCAGGTGGAAGTGCCGTAGCATAACAGACAGTAAAGGGGAAGCTCCCTGATGAATGTGCTGTGTAATTGTACATCAGGTCTTGAATCTTTGGTAGCTGTTTTGCTTCTGTTCCGTGATCCTTTGACTTAACAATCCTTCAGACATGGAGTTTTTGGAAGTTCTAACAGAAGGCCTGGACAGAGTTCTCCTGGTCCGAGGCAGTGGACGTGAAGTCATCACCATTTATTCTTAACCTTGGTTTTTTTCTTTTTTTTTTTTTTTTTTAAATTTTCTTTCGAATGAAGGGAACAAAATGTATAAAGTCTATCTGATGTAATTGGAGCAGCTTCATTTAAGAGCTTGAGCACATGGGAAAAATGAAAATCGAGGTGTGGTTGTTTTCCTGCTAAAATGTTATATTTAAAAGTATATTTTGAAGACCTGTGAGAACACTTCTGTAGTGGGTTAGTAAATCCTGACTGGATTAGGATGTGTATAGTATACCATGATGTGTTAATCTGTGCTGAAACAACAAATCGTAATGCTGTGTTATTTTTAAACATACAGAAATACAAGGAACTTCTGTTTTCTTTATCTTTGTTCTGCTTCTAAATAAAAGGGAAAGTTTGCTTCCTCACTTACTAAGATGCTGCTATGTTGCTTCTGATGGGGTTAGTCCCTGGTTCAGGAAACTTCATTTAGAAATGTATAAAAGTAATCAAATTTACATGTTTTGCATTCTGTAAAGTATTTCCCTGAAGTTTATGATTTGCCACGTCTGTTTTAAATAACATTCTCTGTTTAAAATACTTCAGGCAAGGAATTAAAAGGCTCCAGGTGAGGGTAATAGTAAGCTGCAAGCGTTTCTTTCATGTGAACTACTAGCAGATTAAGGAATACTGCCCAATTAAGACAATGTAAGTCATAGGAATTCCATGATGCAGTATTGCCACCTGCTGGAGATAAAATTACAGCAACTGGTAAACAATTGACCAATGAAGTGTAATCTCATTTTCAAATGTGTGTATTTCGATCAGAGTTGCATGCATGTGCTGCTATGAAAATACAGCTCTTCTGAAAAAAAATCTCGGATCTGTTATTTGTACTCGGTAAATAGTTTGAGCGCTGAATTCTTCTGAGGAAAAAATTGCCCCTGTTGACATTCATTGCTGCTTGCTGAACATTTATGGAGACCAAACAGTAGACATGAGCATAACGAGGTGCTGGGTGGTGTGTTTCAGCAGTGCTAGCAGTGATGAGAAAGATGAGCTGCGCACCAGATAGCTGTGCACTGCTGTCACACCACAAAAGGAGCAGTGGCTCCTTCAGCTCATCTGTGTGAGTCAGTCCATTACGGCCTGAAAGCTGAGTATGGAACTGAGTATCAGCTTCTGTGCGCAGCAAAGCAAAGGTGGCAATGTTGGAATATTGCAGAGTTTGCACCAGTTGGTCCATGAATGCTCACACACGAACAGAAAGAACACCATATTCACATAACTTCCTCAGCAACCGGTGTAATACTAACAAACATATTAGATGAAGTTCATTTGTTGGTTTTGTTTTTTTCTTCTGTTTTTCTCCTCCTGCTGCATCTTTGGGCATGGAGATCTCACAGGAAATACTATTATATCATCCTACTCAGGGAAATGGATCAAAACTACTTAACCAGTAGCAGTAACAGAAAATAAAAAATGATATGAAGTGTTGTTAGAGGTAAAAAATAATATAAATTCACATCTCAGGTTCTAGATAGTTCCAAAATGAATTAATATTGCTTTTAAAAGTAAACATTCAAGATAAATACATGCAGCTTTGCTTATTTGGAAGGGTAACAAATATATAAATTGCTTACAGTGAAATGAATATTTCAATAGAAAGCAACCAGAACACAGGGGCTCTAATCTAGTTCCACCTTGCTGCTCACCACCCTCTGGGGGAAAAACTTCCTCCTAATATCCAACCCAAACCTCCCCTGTCTCAGTTTAAAACCATTCCCCTTGTCCTATCACTGTCCACCCTCACAAACAGCCGTTCCCCCTCCTGTTTCTACGCTCCCTTCAAGCACTGGAAGGCCACCATGAGGTCTCCCACAGCCTTCTTTTCTCCAAGCTCAACAAGCCCAGTTCCCTCAGCCTTTCCTCACAGCAGAGCTGCTCCAGCCCTCTGCTCATCTTAGTGGCCCTCCCATGGACTTGTTCCAAGAGCTCTGCATCTTTCTTGTGCTGGGGGCCCCAGGCCTGGACGCAGCGCTGCAGATGGGGCCTCACAAGAGCCGAGCAGAGGGGGACGATCACCTCCCTCTCCCTGCTGGCCGCCCCTTTTTCATGCAGCCCAGAACACAGCTGGCCTTCCGGGCTGCAGGCGCACACTGCTGCCTCATGGCCAGCTTCTCGTCCACCAGGACCCCAAGTCCTTCTGCGCAGGGCTGCTCTCAAGGAGATCTGCCCCCAGTCTGTATCAATACCTGGGGTTGCCCCAGCACCTTGCACTTGGCCCTGTTGAACCTCATTAGGTTTTCACGGGCCCACTTCTCCATCCTGCCCAGGTCCCTCTGGATGCTTCCCTTCCCTCCAATGCATCGACTGCACCGCTCAGCTTGGTGCCATCTGCAGACTTGCTGAGGCTGCACTCGATGCCATCGTCTGTCACTGATGAAGATGTTGAAGAGCACCGGTCCCAAGACCGACCCCAGAGGGACACCGCTGGTGACCGGCCTCCACTCCAAAAAGAGAGTATATGTATATGTATATATATTTATATGGGAGCAAAAAGTTCAATGTTAACACATCTAGGTTGTAGGAAACAGCAACTCAGATAGAAGAGTTATGATTATCAATGGAAGCAGAACAAAATATTGTGTAGCAAACTGCCAAAGCTAATTTCTGACTCTCAGGTGAGAAATGTACTTCAAATGAAGAAATGTACTACAAATGTACTTCAACTTGCTCTGCAATTATAAATTGTCATGAGAAATATTCTGGGGTTCAGTGTTTTAGGTGGATGACCTTGGCGCCCGGTCTTTTGTTCAAATATTAATCCCAACCCCCATAGAAATAGGGAGGCTGTAATGTGCCCTTGCACTCTTTAATGTAGAAATTTCCCGTGTGCCATAACATCCAATTTCTGTTGTGGCACAGGGTGGAATTTCTGAAGTTATAGCAGATTAGGAAAGCAAGAAATTATCTCACTCACACACACTGTTTATGCAGCACGCTTTTATGAACAGTTTCACTCCCTAAAGATGTGAAGGAACTTTTTCTAATGAAAAAAACAAAAGAAGGAGAGGGGCAGGAAAGAGTGGGTGGTGGAAGCGCTAGCAGTGGTGCGGCTACGTATTGGCTAACTGAGCAGAATGTTAAAAAGCAGAACAATATGCTGAAGAGATAAAGGAAAGCTTTATAATCCACATGGCAAATGGATTATATGGGACTATTTAAACAAACTGAGAGATATTTATGCATTCTAACAGGAGAGGAGCAATTGCTTAAGCAAGTCAAAAGGACTAAGTGTCAGCTAGTGAGCAAAATACTGTGCAAAGTCTTAGCCAAATATCAGGGGGCTCGGGCTGCTTCCGTAGTAGTTGGTACTGAAATGCAGCTCCTTCTGGCACCTTGACTGCCAGTGCTGAACTGGATGTTTAAAGGAAAGGTTTCCCCCACACATCTTGCTACTGATGCCACTTGGAGTAGGTGGGTTGCACTGAGTACACAATGAGCACGGATGGGGAACCTCAGCCATCCAGGGATCCTGGAGGTCATCATGGACTGGCCTGAAGGTAAAAAGTTTGGAACATCACCAGCAGAAGAGGTAACGTGTGCTAAAGAGGCCCCACCATACAATGAACTACCAGAAAGTGAAAAGACATTTGCCCTGTTCACTGCTGGAGCATGTTGCATTGTGGAGAAACACTACAGATGGAAATCTGCTGTGTGGAGCCCTACACAAGAAGTTGCAGAGGCCACTGCAAGGAAAGAAGCCAATTTGAAAAGGTAAAGGCTGTCCAGCTGGCCTTAGATGTTGCTGAGCGGGAGAGGTGGCCTTTATCTTTACACTGACTCATGGATGGTAGCAAATGCCTTATGGGGGTGGTTACAGCAGTGGGAACAAAACAACTGGCAACAAAGGGATAAACCTATTTGGGCTGCTGAACTGTGGAAAGACATTGTTGCCCAAATAAAGAATATTGTTGTAAAGGTGTGCCATGTGGATGCTCATGGGCCCAAGAGTTGGGCTACTGAATAACAAAATAACCATCAGGTAGATGGAGCTGCCAGAATTCAAGTGGCTCAAATAGACCTGGATGGGCAGAACAAGGGTGAATTATTTCTAGCTTGGTGGGCCCATGAGACCTCAGGCCATCAAGGAAGTGATGCAACATACAAATGGGCTGGAGACCGAGGGGTGGACTTAACTGCGCACACTATTGCACAGGTTATCCATGACTGTGAAACATGTGCCATCATCAAACAAGCCAAGAGGATGAAACCTCTCTGGGGGGAAGGGCGATGGAAAAGTACAAATACGGGAGGTGTGGCAGGCTGATTACATCACCTTGCCATGAATCCGCAATGGTAAGCGTTACGTGCTCACCATGGTGGAGGCAACCACTGGGTTTATTGCCACCAATATTCCGTTCCACGTTGTTGCTGTGTGACAGAGGGCAGCAGAAGGGCAGACTGACAAAAAGATGTCTGACACGGAAGTGCAGATGAAGCAGAGGAGTAGAATTGAATTTCTCCACGCTGAAAAATTGGCACCCATTGACTCTTACTTGCTGAATGTTTATGGGAACCAGCAGCAGATGTGAGCACAGCAGAGTGGTGGGTGGTGTGTTTCAGCAGTGGCGACAGCAGCAGTGCAGCATACAGCCTGCTGTTCATTGCTGGCAAAAATGCATATCTAATGGTGGTCACTGTGCTGAGAAATAGCGTTTCGTAGCTGCAATTTTACTCAATCAAGCAATGTTATTGTGCTCCTTGTTACCGTTGTAGTTCTATGGAAACATAAGAGATGTTACTTTTGGAGCAACCTTTGTGTTTGCAGCCTAAGACAACTCCTAGTCATTCAGTGTGGCCCAAACGAGCAAAAGGCTGGACACTGACATGTTAAGGTAATGGTTACAGTCATGGGTTACAGTCTTAGGATTTGGGTTACTGTGAGTGTTAGGATTAGGTTTAGGGTTATAATTACAGCTAGAGTTAAGGTTTGCAGGAGGGTTACTTGTTAATTCTAGTTTATAGCTAGGTTTATTATTATTTTCAGGGTTACATTTATTATTATTAGGGTTATGCTTAGAGTTAGATGTTGGAGTTGTGGGTTAGGGCTAGAGTCACGTGTTAAGTTTCAGTAGGGTTAGAGTTATCTAAGGATTATTAGGGTAAGGACTTACAGTCAGGTTCCATTTAGGGAGAGGTTAAGGATTACGGTAAGGGTTAGATTCAGTATTTGTCTTATGGTTATGTTTAGGTTTAGGATTGTGGTTAGGTTTTAAGATTAGGCTTGGGGCATTGGGTTAGCTTTAGGGTTTACCTTTGGTTTAAATTTAGGATTAGGGTTTAGGTTTAAATGGGTTTGGACTACCTCTATGGTTTATGTTAGGGATTTGCATTAGAAATAGAGATGGAGTTAGTTACAATTAGCTTTAGGCTTAGATTGTTAGGTATTACTATTAGGGATTTTCTTTAAAGTTAGATATATCTTTAGGTTTAGGGCTAGTTTTAAACATACTGGTTAGAGCTATAATCATATTTAAGGGTTTTTATTTGGTTTTACTGTTAGAATTATGTTTATCAATTTTGGGTTAGGCTGTCACAAACTTCTGGGATTCGAATTATAATTAGGATTATGTTTAGAGTTGTGGTTTTGGTTTAGTGTTATGGTTTTGTGGGAAATGAAAGTGTTGTTTCTGCATTGAACATTGAAAAGGGAAATTGATCTCAAGAATTAAGCTGTTACATATCCTTAGAAATAGCTGATGTAGAAAGTAAGAATACCGTACATATCAGTAACATATTTTAGAAACATAATTACTACATTACCTAGTAAACACTTTCTCACAAAGCTGCAAAGATTTTGAATGTTCTAAACAATATGAATACAGTATGCTGAACTAGGAAACATGTTGTAAGGCTGCTCATTAGACCAGCAGAAATAAAATACATCGAACAAACTTTCAAGGAGTCAGGACCTTTACACAAAGCAGAACTGTCTCACTCTGTGGGAAGGTTAGGATGCCACAGACAGGCTCCAAGGTACTCCCCTCTATCCTCCTTCCGAGCTTATCTCTATGCAAGGGCAGATGAATGACCAGAACAATGAAGAACAGTGTGAAGGGGCACAAATGTTAGGGGGTAATTAAGCAGTTGAGAGACTATGTCTATGTTTATGTTGTAAAATGACATCCAAAAAGTTATGACCAAAATGTTTGTTAAGAGAACAATTGCTAGAAGTCAATTAAGACACGTGTGTTTGAGAAGCCAAGATCTGTGTCTACTTGGTGTTTGTATGGTTAGTGAAGTGTCACGAAAGAGTGTGAACCTGCAGTACTCAGCCAATGAGGAACCAGGGGAGAAAGAGATCAGCGGCGGGCAGTAGGGGATAAAAGATGCAATGCTGTTTTCTCGGGGCTCTCCTACTTGCAGGAGGCTGCCATTGCAATTGCGAATAAAATCTGCTTTATCAGAGAAACCGTCCTAGAAAATTATTTGGATATTTCCAACAGTTTTG